CAGATCCCAGGTCTCCAGACAATGAGAATTTTATGAGCAACAAAGTAACGTGAGTTGAACATTAGGTCTACATTTCCTACTATTCCCATGGGGGTGGGAAAGGGGAGGGTGCACCCTAATTTGCCCTAACTTGGTACTGCTAATGCATTCTTTTCAGAATGCATTCCAATAATTGTATCAAAGTCAAATTAATAAATAAAGTATATACTTCACTATTTTTAGCCAATCAGTGTTGTAAGGTTCTAATTCATCTGGTTCTGTCACCACACCCCCTGGGATTATTCTTTCAAATGTGGCAATATCGGCATCAGTGACCTGTTTGAACAAAACATCTGTACATCATTTTCCCCAAAGCAATAGGCTCCATTCGATATCTTAAAATTCAGACTCGCTTATGGTCGCATGGCACTTCATGTACAGTACAAACAGATGGATTAYCAGGTACATTTATTGGTAGGAACAAAAATGTACCATACACGTTGTTTYTACCTTTCTTTTTGAGAAACGTTTGATAGAAATGCTAGTCAGTTCACTTATGATTGAATCGACAGCACTTTATCTACTGTTCCTTTTGAGGTTTAATGCAATTTTGAAAATTTTATTCCGGAGAGCCTTGGTATCTTGCTAGAAAATATTTGGAGAGTGGCCTAATTTGCGATGTCCATCGAGAAAAATGTCTCTCATGATTACAACACCACAAAAGACCTGTCTAAACAGTGAGAAGCACTCTAGGAAAATGGAGTAATATTAAATAAACACAACTATCTTAAATAATAATGTTATGCAATTTGAATAAGAAAGGTTCAATGCATAACGTTCATTYATCGATACGCTAAACGTACCTTTGCAAACTCGCCTCTCTTTACATTTGGATATCGGACACTGGTCAATTCTACTTGATTTTCAGAGCTGTAAAGCCTTTTACTTCCATAAAAACATACACTGAACCTCACATTTAAGCTTGAAAATATATTTTTGTATTTTAAACATAATTCTCTCCGGCCTAGAGTGTGCAGAAGACGAGATAAATGCACACTGCTACGAAGAGCCATCCTTCTTCCACAAAATAACAGACTTTAGCTAGGCGTTCCAAATACCACCACAGGTAACCCACACATTTGGTACAGGGACTGGCTTGTCAGGTCGAAGTTCGGGCTCACACAATAGATTTTTCTCGCGCAGCATCGCATTCAAGCGCTTCAAAATATTTTGGGGTCGGAAATGGATAGGAAGTTTCACTTGTAAAGTAATCAGTGTTGCCATAGTTTCAGGCCTGAGGGATTTAGGGATACTGGCAAGAGGGGTCCTCCCTTTTCTTCTTCTTTCTCCTCACCACCCCTCTGAAATATCCACAATCAAAAATGTTTTTGAAGGAGGGGGGGAGGGGGGAGGGGTAAAAATGGCATGGAATAGTAGTGATTTCAGCTCCAGTAAGTAAATCTATTATGATAGAGTGAAGGCATTTACCAGTGAAATAAAAAATACTAATCAACGTGTAAAAGTCAAAGACACAAAAGAAAACAATGGAATTAGGGTCTACTAAAGTGTATCAGTCTAACATCTATTTCACGGGTTTAATGACTTCACTCTAGCTTTCCTTCTTCAAATTAGAAATTAATGTTACAGTGCCAATCTGTTAATCTGCAATCAATCTCCCCAAAAAAAAACCTTTTGAAAACCCAACAAAGATTTTAGTGGTCTCATTCTAATAAAGAAATTCAACAAGCAATGATCTTTTCTAARGCATTTTTAAAACCCAACAAAGGTTTTTGTGTGCTCGATCTAATAAAGAAATTCAACAAGCAATATTTTTTCTAAGGCACCTTTAATAGCCTAACCAACCATATACTGCACTATTAAACAATGTTTACTAATAACAGGTAGAATAAATCTATATACATATTTTGTAATAGTATAACATTACCATTATTTTCATTGTTACACACTGATTGAGACAACAGTCATGGGAAGGGGGTGGAAATCAGGCAATACACTGCCRATCGGAGAATGTAAGGTTAAACTAACATAACAAAAATATTAACAAACTATTAACAAAATATTAAYAAAAATTAAGGACAAAAACAGTTATGAAACAAATGCTACATAACATAGACTTTCATAGCTTGGTCTAAATGGAAATCATCTTTTGTCCTTGGACATGTCACTTTGCCTTGCTTTTCCTGGGACATGATGTGAAGGGCCTACGATTGAGAAAGGAAAAAAAWTAGTTTTTTACCACAAATGTAAATTTTTAAAAACTTTCCGATTGGTGAGAACCATGGAGAATAAGAGGGCATACCAACAAYGTCAACAAATGGCATGGAGCCCACACACGCTTGACATCATTTTTTGTTCAMACCTTTTGGGTGTTTTTCTAGTAGTGGGAAGTCAATAGATAAAGATTTATTTATATATATATATATATATAGTAAAGATTGGATTAAAGACGAGACATGTTCACTGTAACTCCGAGTTTCGTGCTTACGCACTCATCAGACAGACTTTCTGACTTTCTTTCAAAGTCTGTCTGATGAGTGCGTAAGCACGAAACTCGGAGTTACAGTGAACATGTCTCGTCTTTAATCCAATCTTTACTATATATATATATATATATCTATTGCTCTGCATCCCTACGCATCAAGCACTGTTTCAACAGTATAGACCACATTACATACTTTGTTAAAGATTTATTTATTTATTTATCAGGCTTTAACCACATAAACAATAAGTGGTATGGTCCATACAACAGAGCATGACTCCAAATAAAGTACGGCCACAATATGATCACATAATAAGTGGAATAATATTAAGTAAGGAAAAGAAAATAAGTGGAAGGRAAAAAAAAGAATCAAAGAAATTGTACGAAGGAAGAAAGAAAGAAAGGGAAACAAACAAAGGAAGGAAAAATAAATTGTAATTTTCTGTTTCTTACCCGTTCTCCATAGACAAATCCATTAGGAAGAACCATGGGTGGGTTATTTTCATTCATTATTTGTCCAGAGATGGGACAAACAAGTCTTGACTGAGCACAGTGGGCAAATGGCAGAGGATCTCCTAGAATATTCAAAGGGTGGCTACAAACTGGACATTCTGCTATTTTATGACCTTCTTGATAACAGTGTCTTAAATTCAGTTAAGGTACAATAATACTACAATACTACAGATATAGAGAATATGGCATGGCTGTGTGGAGATATGATAAAYTATTATGTTATTACGTTATATCTTCACAGGTTTTTCCATGCTCTTTTCAGTAATAAAGGATGCAGGAAGCGGCATAAGCATGAAAGAAGTGTAAGGAGAAGCACAAGCCATAGGCAAGTGCTTTTCACACTTCTTGAGTGCTTATTGCACTTTCTAAGTGTTTTATTACTGAATGGAGCACAAAAAAAGCTGTTTTACTTGTATTATTATATAGTTACTAATTTTATATTCGGTAGTGAATTTATTTTCGAGAGAAAAAAAGATGGCCACAGGATCTACAGTAGCAGCACTTCACATGCTCAGATGGCGTCAGCACTGTGCTCTGTTCACTAGTATAGCACAGTTCTCATAATATCCTAACTATAAAATAATAAATAACAAAGAGGACTATTCAGTATCAATTATTTAAGTAGAGAACAGTAAATAAATAAGGATACGGTGTCTTTAGTGCTGATAATCCTGCTTGTAAAGTCAAAGATAAGACTGACTGATCATTCAACTGATGCAGCTGGAAATTTTCTTTTCTGAACTGTTCAACCAGTTTGTTCCATCGAGAAGGATCAAATAACTCCTAACCATAAAAATCACCATATTATAATATTATCACTTTTAGGAAAAAATATATTTTATAACTGATGTGGTTATAGAGTGTACTGTACAAACTACTTGTTTAATGTCATAAACCCTGCCAGGGTAGGTTGACATGAAACTGTATTATAGTACTAGAACATAAGGTGTGGGTTGCCTGTGTTATGATATCAGTGTTGTGTGGGTTGCATGTGTTATCAAGTATGTTTTATGTGGGTTGCCTGTGTTATGATGTGTTATTAAATGTTATACTGTACCTTATACGGAGAACAAGCCATTTGGGGTTTGAATGCCAGTAGTGCCATCGCTCTTTGGATTTCTTTTGTCATTACTTGATCGGCATTTGCAAAGTGTTTCCTGGCGTACCTAATATGTCAGATTTCAACATAGCAGTTATTCTTGTACCTTGGTTTACTGTAAACCCCGTTTAGATGTACATTGTACCCATAAATAAGTGGCATAGTGGTTTGCGATGTGCATTAATTTGGAATGGGGCATGGGAAGGGGATGGGGGCTATCATCAGCCAATACCCCAAAAAGGTACAGATCTGCAGTATAACCCAAACGAGAAAAGCTAATTACAGCCATTCTCAATTACACGCGCCCTCTAGCGATTGTCTTTGTCATGACGAAGTAGATTTTGGTTGACGTCAATCAAAGCGTTTCCATGACATTCTATAGGCTCAGCGCTTATAGCTTTGTGTTTTCCGACAATATCATGGAAACGCCTTATGATTGATGTCCACCAAAACCTTCTTCGTTGTGATCATCACGTCAATCAAAGCGTTTCCATGACATTCTATAGGCTCAGCGCTTATAGCTTTGTGTTTTCCGACAATGTCATGGAAACGCCTTATGATTGACGTCCACCAAAACCTTCTTCATCATGACAGATAAAATCACAAGAGGGTGCGTGTAATTGAGAATGGCTGTAAAAGTTGTTTCTTGCATTTTCCTTGTGTTGAACAGAAAGGATATTACCACCTGATAACGCAAGGGTTAAGAGTTTTAATCCCAAAAGGCTGACATACTATCTTTGGAGAGGGATTTTCTCTAAGAAAACCGGGGATATTTTATAGCTTACTTGATAGCTTCTATTCTTTCATCTCGTCGAACAAGCTCAATGAATTCTTGCATACGGACATTGAACTCCAAGGTGCTCTAACAAAGAAGGTAGTATCTAAGTTAAACATGCACTGAACCAAATAAATTACATTAGACTACTGGTTATATATAATAAAATGCACACCTTAAGTTTTCTTAGTTTTGACTTGTTTTCATAGCACCAACTTAAACAAGGACCAGACTCCCCTTTGAACAAGGCTTCCTCTACTTGTCTTGACGTGGTAAAAAGATCAATATCAACTAGTTCCTGAAGACAGAAGAGCATATACCTGTAAGTTATCTACAAGCAACAGACCTACATCCTAATGAAATTATTAATAAACTAATTAATGTCATAATCATTAGATAATGTACAGACTAAGGTGCACCCCAAAAAAGGGGGAGCTATAGCTTTCCAAGCCCCTCCTTCTCCAGGACATCCTGAATTTGGCTATCTCCAATAAACCAATCAAAACTCTTCCGTAGCTGGTACCAATCCTGGTTGAGAAAAGAGGAGTGAGAAAGCTTGGGACTTTTAGCACTTATTTGGGCAATGTAAATATGAATAAACAGATTGAATCTTTGGGTAGTTGGTTTTATTATGTTTCCAAGGTTGTTTTCATTTCTGACTAACCTCAATGTCTGCTTCTGCAGCAAGTTTCTTTGCTGTTTCATAAAAGCCCTGCCTCAAACAATGATCCACAAGCATTCTGTCCAGTCTCTTCTTCTTCCATACAAGTACAGAACTCTTTCTTTCATCAGCATGTTCTTTGATGTGGTCCAGACGAGTCTTGCAGTGCTTGACAGAGCCCTCTTCTTGGTTCAGGCATTCTTCAGACTAGAAATTCACAGAACACATTACAGACAGCAGTTTTTTAAATTTGTTTTTCTTTTTACTTTTTTGCACACAACTGTCAACTCATATTTAATATTTATCATAAGAGCCAGTGGGCAATTTCATGGAAATCAAAGGTGGCCTAGCTGTTACACACTTAACTGTCAGCTCTGGGGTCTGGGGTTTGATTCCCTGACCTGTGCATCACATATGAATAGAGTTTGTTAGGTCTTGCCATTGATTCTTTCTCTGATTTTTGATCCTCCCTACACAAGGACCTACCAAGCTAAATTCCAATTTGACCCGTGAATTAGCTGTGCCCTAATTTTGATCAGCCCAGAGGTTGTTTCAGGGTTTTATCTGTAATAAGCTATTCCCTGACTTAGATCAGCTCAGAGGTTGTTTCAGGGTTCAATCTGTGAGTCAGCCGTGCCCTGACTTAGATCAGCCAAGAGGTTGTTTCAGGGTTCAATCTGTGAGTCAGCCGTGTCCTGACTTAGATCAGCCAAGAGGTTGTTTTAGGGTTCAATCTGTGAGTCAGCCGTCCCCTGTCTTTGATCAGCCATGAAGTTGTTTCAGGGTATCAATGAGAAATTTTACGTATCCATATGCCTTTTCGACTTTGTACATTAGAAACCTTTTGGAAACCAGTCTATATGTTTACCTTTCTTTTCAATGCTTGTATTTTTTGAACAACTCCATCTAGCATCCCAGCTATTTCATTAGCCTTCACAGGGTGTTTACCAAGAGTACTTGTGAGTTCATTGGTGGCATTGACGACATAAGATACCTCTCTATCTATGACTTTTTGAGCTGTGCGGAACCTTTTGTTYAAAATCTCATAAGGAACCTGAGGAAATAAAGAAGGGACTAAATTTTCCCAAAATATATTAAAACTATGACTGTAGTATTCTTTCTATATGCAAACAACAAAACAGTTGTGTGTTATGCTTACGTCGTCTTGTTTCATGGGCACAAAAGTTGTACTATTTAATATCATTGCTTTCCTCACTACGAAATATTGGCAATTTTACATTGTGTTAGCTTAGCGTCAAATAGTATACTTGAAACTCCAAAGAGAAAATTAGGTAATTTTTCCAACAACAGCCACAACAAAAAACAGTAAGGATTTTGAAGCTAAGAGAGTCATCTACGTAAATTTTTTTACCTAATTTCTTGGCTTTTTCAAGCAACAAATATCTAAGTTTTGAGACTTACTTTAAGTGTGGAGTATTCCAAAGCTTTAATGTCAGTCATAGTGGAATAATTTGACGGAAAAGTCTCCTTTTTTCTTCCCTTTTCGCGAGAAGTTTTTACCAAGACGAAAACAACCATTCACACAAAATGGCGTTWTACTCTATCGAGGGAATGGGACGGAGTGCTTTCACGTACCACAGGGAACCCAAGATGCTAACTTCATATTTATGCGCAAATTTTTTTTTATTCATACAGCAATTAAACTTTTTCTTAAGTGAGAAAAATAGTAAATTGAATTCTTTTGTGATACATTCTATTATAAACAAAATTCAAAACATRATAWTTTTTTTTTWAAATTCACTCAGGCTCTTGAAATATTGATGCACGAAAGCCAAAACACGACTACACTACAGCCTCTGGTGATGTCTGAGACTCATGAATATGAAATGATGCTCTAATTTTTTTATTTACAATTACCAAATAATTTATTATGATACTTTTGAATCCGACTTCCGGGTGCAAATTTCATTTCCGGAGGTATTTTGGTTGAGGTAGCCGCTGTGCAGTATTACCCGGGCTCAAGTAAACAATCTTCATTCAGCAAACAAGACACACAGGGCAACGCTGTGTRGGATGTAAGCTTTAAAAATCCCTTCTTTACCTCCTTATTTGCTTCAAAATCTTAAGTAATAACATAGGTTATCTTTTTCTTATTCCCAATTGCAGAGAAGAGGAAAATCAGGCTAGTTTTGTGGCACGAAACGAGGTAAGAGGGAAACCCATTTGTCTGGGTATATGATTTTGTTTCTCTTTSACATCTAGTGTTGGAAAAAATGTAAACCTAACTGTCATTGAACTTTGTTTATTGTTCCGTTTCCTTGAAAATAATGATTTGTTAGTGAATACTAAAATTCTTCGTTCAATCCCACCATTTATTTTGCCAATCTTGCCGGGTTAGCAAGCATATTTCGTGCTAGCAGTGTTCCCCGCTGCGAGAACGAAATTAGGAATTTATTTTTCAAGTTTCGGTCTAGTTTACTTCCAGCTGTATTACTAAATAACGTTACTTCTTGATATGTCTAAACAAGTGTTAGTATGTACTTGATAGTCGTCGTATCATAGGAAAATAAATTGTTTGGGCTTTATTAATTTGGAAAGCTTCGAGAGACTCTTCACGATCATAAAGAAAACGTCATCTCGTCTAATATGATCTACTTCAACTGTTGATCGAAAAATATATATTTATGGATGGATTCGCCCACCAAYATAGTATAAATTAGATAGTTTATTTCTCTTTAAAAGTTTGAGGGTTTTGTTCTGCATGGCGCGAATAAATGATGTCGCTTTTTTTCGTCGCCGGTCGGCCATGACCAACACACTTTGTCTTCATTAGTTAACTTTAATAAATTCTGTACTAATTTCTCTTGGCTTTTTATCTGTTTTTAAATGGAAGCAACAATTTTGAACATACATGGCGATAAATTAGAAGGAAAGGTTGGAAAAAAATCAACTAGTCAGCTGAAACGTTTGCCAATCATGTGATGTTGGAACACGAAACTATCTTTTTGAAAATGGAGGTCAAAWCTGATGCGGCCTGCATAAGTCACAACTTCCCTTCCACGTTGACAAAGATTTTATCAAAACTACTTGAACTTAAAAGAACTTAGACTTTTGACGTTCTTAGACATTAACTTCGTGTGCCAGCATTTTTTATTTTTGTATAAAAAATTACTAAGAAACATCTACTGTACGGAGTTCAGTTTGAGACACAAACAGGAAAAACTGAAATGATAGATCGAAGGCTTAAGTTGTTTTCAAGCTTGATTACTCTAATTGTTAGCTACTTCAATAAAATATTCAAAAATTAGCTTCAGTCGGGAAAAATAATTTGAAAGGAAAGATTTTAATGATAAGTAAGATTTGCATTTGAGTGACGAGAAGATAATAACTTTTGACTACTTCAATGGCTTGATCTTGGTTCTTTAAAAACAACAACAACAAAAACAAAGATGTGTTATAGCCTCAAAAAAATGCATTGAGCTAGTCTTGTCTTGATAATAATAAAGGTACCTAGCCTTGTATTTACTGAAAATAATTAGAAAGGTGCTTATTAAATAGGATATGAGCTGTCTTAGMAGTGGATCAGTGCCAAGCAATAAGGAATTTACAAATTATGATGGATTGTATTTATCAGTCATGGTAGTTTTCCCCCTTCCCCCCCAAAAAAATTTGCTTGTCATTGTGACAAGAGAGTACATATTCTCTTGCTTGTGAGTGGAGCTACAGTAAAGTCTAAGATTTTCAAAAACTCCYAACTTTCTATTCCCTAGAATCTCAAGTCTCTCAATCCAGTGCTTCTCAATTGCAGGGTTTTATAAATTTTGACTAGTGATTTAATATCCCACTGTTTTTATTGCTACATGCTGATTGAGACAACCGTTTCTACAGGGAAATTGGGCAATAGACTACTGTCATCAAATAAATTGATTGACGGCAATGCTACCTAATTTTCTGGTTGTGACTGTTGTCTYGATCAGCGCTTTGAAGAAGAATTGTTTCTCATYAGTAACACGCTCTCTCACAGGCATTGACGACCTATTTCTTGGACCATTTCTTTTGTTGAAAAATAATAACTTACTTCWAATAAATTTATGATAATTAATCCATGTTTTCACAGCTGGTTTTGTGATTTTCGAAGTCTGAGCATAAAGATTTTAAATTATACTAATTTATGTATCCATTATCTTGAACCAAATGTAAGACTTTCGTTTTACAATTTGAAGAATRATAAATGATTGATTTTTACTTTAAGCATGGGTTTACAATGTAGTTTATATACGAAACTATCTGTATAAAGAAAAGAGCAGGAAATATCTTTATTGATACGAATCACGTTTCTTCAAGCAAATTTTTCTAGAAAGAAAAAAAAAATTCCGAGCTCCAGGTGGGATTGAAAAAACCTGTATTTTTAATTTGGATCTATGACCTTGGCCATACCCACAATCCCACGGGATTCCCAACTTCTACTTCCTTGTTACAAGTAACGCTATCTTTAAGATTGTGTTACAAGCAAGATACAAGTCAATGTGTTACTCTGACTTCATTTGGTCTGGTCTCATTAGTAACCAGAACCTATTTTGGGGTAAAATTTCGAAGAATTATGATTCTTGTGGACTTATATATCGTTGAAAAGACGGGTATTTTTGACAAACGAAGAAAAAATTGTATAATTGAAGACTCGATATTCCCTGTTCGAAATGATGATGATAGGTAGTCTGCGGGTAGCGAACACCCTTTTCCGAGCTCTCAACATATTTATTTTTCTAGCCTACCAGAGACATCGTACTTGAAAAAACATTTGATTGTTGATTACCCTACACTGGATTAGAGATCTGTTATGTCATAAATATTTTCACCAAATTGTATAAGTTCCTTAGCAACGCTTCTGAGTTTTCCTCCTTTTAAGGAGGGCCTTGAAAATGGAAAATAATCGCATTTCAAATTTCATCTCACGATTCCTATTAGTCAAGCTTTTCGAGTTTCTCTTTGAGAAAGCATGACGATTATTATTTTTAAGAACTACTTGCATTTTTTTGTGACAAAAAATAACTTCATTATTTTTGTTTCAGGGAAATTAACAAAGCTATTTTAAAAAAGTAAAGCGGACAGACTTAACTCGATTATGTTGCACTGTTTAAATATCATTAACGGTTTTTTCTATAAATTGTCGACAACTAGTGGCGGTATTGTTTAGTGTATAAGAAGGCTTAGCCTACTTGGCTATTAGGTTTTATTGAAATACCTGGACCGTTTTTGCCAGCAAAATAAATTCGAGTTCCACTGAAATGGAAAACCATTTCAGTGCTTCTTCAAAACCCTTTCCATAAAGGATTCGAAATTTGCTTTACAACCACGGAACCATATATTAAATTCTTTTATTTTTTCAATGCAGGCGATGTTTTGGGAATATCCTTTGTATTGAAAAGGTGCTTTGGTAGCTTTCCTTTTCTATTCGCCTTTTCCATATCGAGCAGGGTACTGGGCTCGAGTTCGGACCGCAAAGCATGCATGATTAATTATTGATAAGCCAGTATTTTGAATCTTTTCGTCCCAAAATACAGGAGCTACACTCGTCTCACTCGGTGATTTCGTGTCGATAAATCGCGCGATCGATCCGTCCGCAAGTCCTGAATTTCTTTTAAACCAGCAAAATAGTCTATACTTTCGTAACAAACGATGATGAATAGGGATTTTGTTTGGAGAACGAACGTCGACTACATCTATTAGTTACAGGTAGGGTTTGTTGTATTAAATCGTTTTAAAAAAGGAAACTTCATTTCAGAACTCTTGCCCTGTCGGCTTCTTCGACACCTCGTTATACTTTCTTCAATACGAAGTCAATTTTCCTAATAAGTTCTTTCAAATAACTGCGTATTATTTTCGCGTTGAATCCTAAGAATTTTAGGGAAAGATGCTTTACCGGTAAAATATTTTTACTACCATTTTAAATTTTCTCACAGATTTGCTTTAGTTAGCATAATAGAATTAAGTAGAACGTGTTCCCATTAGTTCAAAACATGCTGGAAATTTCCCTACTATTTTTTATAAAACCAGAGGTTTAAAAGAATTAAGTATCTCACTCTAAGATGCGATTTGTATTTGGGATTAATTATTTATAGTAGAAATCCTCTGTTGAACTAACCGTTGAACTTAAACTTATTTCCTGGCCAGTATTTCTCGCGGAGATTTTTTAGTATGTTTTATATAGTATCGTGTACGATCTTATTTTTAAAATATTGAACATAGTTGTATTATTATATAGTTTCTGTCCTAATTGTAATAGATATTTAGGCTATTCGCCAAGTTTTAACCAAAACGTCAAAATTAAGATGAGCCATTTAAAAAATTTTCTTAGAATAGTTAATTTCTCAAAACGTTTTTTTTTTTTTCAAAAAGTTTTTTTGACTTATATCACGCGAAAATATTATCAGCAAGATATTTCCCCAAAAATTAGTAAAGTGATTATCATATATCCCTGAAAAACGTCGTAACAATCGCAGAAATTTGCAAAAATATTAAGTTCAGCAGACCTCAGTAGACCGTGTACCTATAAAAACGTTGCACTAATTTGTACAATTTTTTTAGTTTATTTTTTCATTGATGTATGGTATGCAAGTTACTCATCATCTTAGGTTATTGTTTGATGTAGAAAGTTTAGGCAAAGAAAATATTCTCGACCCAAAAATAGCAACAACAACAACAAAAAAAAACATTTTAAAATGTTAAAAGTTTACGACATTTTCCTTTATTATTGTCATTAGTATAACATGTTCAATAGTGAACTACAGGTATTAGATAATAATATTYAAGCTTATAGGGTCTTATCTTCACCTAGAGAGGCTTGCTTTCCATATCTATTTTAAAAARCGACAACAATTTCATTTTCTAATGATTGGCTTAAAAGCTGGTTTTCGTAGTGTTAGTTTTTGCTGTTAATAGTGACCCAATTTTTGAATAATGTTTTCTTTAGCTAGTCATGAATACAGTGGTTAGCTTCAGACTTGCTGTTTCAAAGCAATTGTTCCTCTACATTATTGAAATCCATAATAGCTCAAGCTAATTCCTTCACCAGCTTGAACGGAAATGAAGAAATCTCGAGGAAGTCACTGATAGGTTTTTAAACCACGCTGTATTAAAATTTATGTCAAATTTCGCTCTGTTTCAGTGCAATTTTTTTATGATTCCACGTAAAAGATTAATACCATATTATTATAGATGGTGCAATTGTTTTTGATCGAATTGCTTATCGTGCTGTGATGGACGCTGTGAATTTAAAAAAGCTTAGGTCATGTTGAGAGTATGTTGAACGCGCTTGTGCAGAGACATGAAAAACGAGTTGGTGAATTAGTATAGGAAATCGCACGATCTTGAGTACAGTTTGAAATTTATAGATACCAATGATGCTTTTAAAATTCTTCAAAAATGAATAAGCCTTTATAGGCGAGTCCAATTTGAGAAGTTTTAAAACATCACGAGTATCTATAACCCGGATCTATAAATTCWGAATCGTACGAGAAGATCGTGCGATTAACACAAATAGCGTACGACAAAAATCGAAATGCGCTTCTATCATTTTAAACCCAACTGATTTTTTAAAGCCATTCTTGGCAATAAAATCCATACTACAATCCATGCTGTTGAAATCCCGTTTTGCGGTAAGAGGAAGTTCAAAGATATCAACCTAATTTTCTCGAGAGATATTTAAGATATTTTTGCTATCAGACAAATGCGCACAATAACTGTCGTCGCATTGCTCTTATTCTTTTTTCACAGAAATTTTCGGGTCTGTCATAACAAACTAGCATTATTTCTCAAAACTTTTCCTTTCGTTGCCTTAATTATTTCACTAGTGACGTCATGATCGCTGATAATGACGTCGTCAATTGTCCACCTCGAGCAAAAACCGCTCGCGGAGTCCTCACAAACTCCGCTCGATTTCGATCAAAAGGGTGAGWTTGGGGATTTTTTAAATAATATCGTTTAGAAGCTAGACCTTCTGGACAATAATGCCATTAAAGAAACGACATCAAAGGGCTTTTAGGATGTATGCAGAACGGACTTTTCCATTATCGTTTGTCAAACGTTATACAGAGTTTAAACTATCATATGGACTAGAAGTTCCGCGTTTGGAACACAATCTTCTTCTACGATCAGATTGTTGAAAAATACTTGACCATAATTTGTTTGGTTTCGACGCCCGCACGAAAAGTCAGTACTGCACAAAATCGACCTTTCGCGCTTAAACAAATTCAATTTTTAATTCAGTTTCCCAAGGAATTGAGGTTTGGTGTTTGTTTCGGCTGCAGAAGTACAACATATGTTGTTAAACAAAAGATTTCTATCGCCCTTATCTTTAACGTTTGACGGTATATTTGCAATAACTAAAAGCTTTCATTGAGATTTTCCTTTAAATATTCAACAAAGTTTGATGTGAATGCGCTCAGAACTTCGAAACGTCATCTTGGAAGGTGCTTGGAAACGGTTCGTAAATTAATCTTAATTTTTAGTATATGTCCCCTTTCTTTGAACTAAGAGTTATATTGTTCTATCTTAAGAGTTTTTTGTAATTTTAGGTAGGCTTATAAACGGGTTTAGAATATTTATGGAGCATAAAAAAGCCGTCTTTCACTACAGTTTCCGACTAAAACGAGACCTCATGTTTAAATATATTTATGTTTTTTTAAATATTTTCACTGAAACTAGTATCGATTCTACAGCCAAACTGAAGAGAGACATTAATTCTCGAAAGAATGGGATTTTGATATATTGAAGTGAACTAGAGAAAAAAAATCTAAGTAATTAATTAGCTAAAAAAAAAACCTCAAACTCCAGTCTTCGAGTGTTATTTTATATAATTATGCCTTTGAAGGAGTCAACGAAAGCACTTGTGGCTCATATTTTGACGCTTGTTTTAATCAATCGGAAAGTGACTAATTTATTTTACTAGATAATGCCTGGATTAAAGGATGTTTTTAGTTTCTTTACAATAAAAAATTCAAGCTCTTACAGTTGATGTTTTTCGCTCATAATTACTGTAAAAACCTTTCAAAGCACTTCAGCAATTTTTGTTTACGACAATTCATATAAAAAACTATCACTTGCTGGGATCAGTAGAGCGAAGGCATTTAACCCGTGAAATAAAAAAATACTAGTCAACGTGTAATTGTCAAAAAGACACAAAAGAAAACAATAGAATCAAGGTCTACTAAAGTGTATTAGTCTAATATCTATTTCACGGGTTTAATGACTTCACTCTATCAAGGTGAATTTTAACTTTAATTGTAAGACTACTAGTTGTCTCAAGTGCTATTCCCATGCTTGCATCTGTTCAAGAGTTAAGAAATTCTTTTAGCTTTAGGTATTTTGAATCGCTATAAGTTTAAATAGTTGTTTATTCAAAGCCTTATAGTACTCAAGTCTGTATTTTATACAGTCCATGGCTCATCACATTAACATCTCTTCACAGGGGCATGAGGAACACTTTTGCTGTCTTTGGTAGTTAAAGGCAAAGCCTTTAGAAGAATGGACTTCGATGATGAACCGAAAGAAGAACCGGAACTGACGTGTGGATGGCGAGGATTCAAACCCAAGTTTCTTCAAAAGCTCAACACACCAAAATGGTTCCTAGTGTTCCTCACAATCTACTCGTTCATGCAAGGTAAAGATAACAGAGTATTGTCTTTCGATTCATTGACGTCAGAGCATCTTAACCTAAAGCTGTTAACTGCTGTTTTGTTTATCWCAGAATGCGGTAGTTTGTGTACCGAAGTGTGAAGTTGGTAATCTGGAGGTGTTAATCGATTCTTAGATGTACATCGGGGATTTTTAAGTCCTTCGAGACATTGCATTAGTTGCATGGCTGTATGTCTAAGAGGTCGATTGCSGGCAGAACAGTGGTCGGTGTTTTCAGTTCAGTGATTGGTCGATGCATGGTGAATGCCCAATTAATTGTGATCTACTGACACTGTAGGCAGATCAGTGGCTAGTTGTTGACATTTTAGTGGTCGATGAGTGGTCGATGCTTACAGTTTATTGGTCGGTCGAAGCATTATTCATTAGGCGGTGCCTACACTTTATTGGCTAGTTGGGGGCAGATCATTGGTCGGTGTCTACAGTTTATCAGTCGGTCGTAGGAATTTAAGTGGTCGGTGTCTACAGTTCATTGGTCGGTCGTAGGAATTTAAGTGGTCAGTTTGCACAGTTCATTGGACGGTTGCTGACGTTTTAGTGGTCGACTGTAAAACTTTGAATGGTCGGTTGCTAAGAGTTGTTTGCTCGGTCGCTAAAAGTTCCGTGCTTTACTGACATTTCAGTGGAGGGTTGGTAAAAATTCTAAAAACCTTGTCGGTGTTTTTTTTGAATGGTCTGTTTATTGTTAAATTATAACGTTATATTAATCACTCTTTTTTTCCTAAATCTATCTCTTTCTATTTTCTATCCAGGTATGACAGCCAATGGGTTCACCGCCGCAGGACTCACAGCACTGGAAAAACGCTTCAAACTCAGCAGCAAACAAACCGGCATGATAGTAGCAGCCAACGATGTGTCTGCCTTATTTCTCATCATCTTCATTAGCTACTATGGTGGTCACAGTCACAAGGCAAGATGGCTAGGCTTCGGTGCCTTTGTCACTAGCTTAGGAGCGTTGCTCTTTGCACTTCCGCATGTTCTTATAGACAAATACGTTCCTTTAGAGTTCGAGAGAAGCACAGCAGGCGCAGATCTTTGCCATACGGCTAACGCCACTTCCGTACTACAGATCGAAGAAGCATGCCGTAAAAAACTTCAAAATTCCGACTGGAAGTATTTATTTGTGTTTATTGGCGCTAAGTTATTGCTAGGTGCAGGAACTACACCGTTGTTTACTCTAGGGCCGTCGTACATCGACGAAAATGTCGACCCGAAACATGCTCCGATGTACCTTGGGACTTGGTTCATAGCGACGTTCTTTGGACCTGGTATTGGCTATGTAGCTGGTGGATCACTCTTGAATATATGGGTGGACTTGATTCAGGTAATGCATGGTAGTGATAACACTGCCTCATACTAGTCAGCTCTCTCATTGTCGTTGAGAGTAGCAAAGAGATGAATGGTGATATCTTATCCGTCTGCCCATTCATCTGCTATCCCATTTCTACTCATTCATTATTTTTCCCAACCAACTATTTGTCTGGCCCCATCCATCCATTTATCCATATCCTTCCCATCCCTTCATCCATCCAATAACCCAACGTTTTGTCTGTCCATCCATCCATTCATTCATCCATCCACCTAAGTATTGCCACACTATCCATCCAATCATTTCTTGACTTATTTCCATGTATTCTTCTCGTTTTAGCCTCCAGGRTTAGACATGACACCAGAAGACCCCCGCTGGATCGGGGCATGGTGGCTGGGCTATTTCTTTGGAGGTCTGCTTCTACTGCTGTCAGCTATTGCCTTACTAGGGTACCCACGGGAAATGCCTGGTGCAAGAGAACGAAGGTAATGAAAATGTAAATTTATTCCAATCCTTAATTTTCCGTTCATTACTTCTTGATGCTTCTTTACCTTAGGCGTAATGCTGTCCTATTCCAGACCACATGTCACTCTCTTGAGAATAAGATTCTTTGTTTGAGTTGCATTTATATACATGTTTCTTCTCATGCACAACCGTTAAACAAAGAAATGATACTCTAGAGAATAACACGTGGAATGAAATACGAAAACATTACGCCCAAGCTCAAGCTCAATAGTTCTGAAGAGTTCTATTCCCAATTTCTAAATTTATTGACCTTTTCCTACCGTACCCTGCAGAGCGCGTGCAATCAAGGAAGGCCTTCTACCACCACGTGACGACAACATCAACGGCAAACTCAAGGATATCATTCCAGCTACTAAAGCTTTACTGACCAACTGGACTTTCATTGCAAACACCTTGGCACTCTGTGCGACTGCACTGATAGCGACCGGGCTGGGACCGTTCATATCAAAGTTCATTCAGTCGCAGTTTGGGGAGCCATCATCTACGGCTGGTGAGTTGTAGTCTCTAAAAATTTGAATCGCACAACACGTTTCGATAAACAGAATGGATAACAAAGAGGGGTGCCATTTTTAGTGCAACAACGGAGAGGGTGGGGGTGGGGTCAGATTTATTGTATGGGTTACCAATTAATCAAATTAATACCCCCTCTCCCCCCCACCCCCCTCCCAATAAAAAAATTAAAGGTCTTTAAGGTCATTAGACCGTGCAACGTTTTGCGCAAACTTTTGTTGTAGTTTACTCAGATCGTATATCGCGCGCATCGTCTTCAACAATCAAAAGCACCAACGAACGAACCCAAAAACTAAGGAATGGGCAGTTCCAGTTCCACGCGCGGTTGTACGGCTTATTGGTTTGGGGTCTGCATTCAAGTCATTTATATTTGTCGCATCCTTTTTCCAGGTATTTTGAGTGGCGTGATAATCATCCCAGGTACTGCTGGCGGTATCTTTCTGGGTAGTTATCTGGTCAAGCGCATCGACCTTCGTAAATCTTGCCGTGAGGCCGCCAAGTACTGCTTCATTTTTCAATTCATTGGTACTTGGGGAGTGTTAACGTTTCTTATACCTGGCTGTAAGACCAGTTTGATTGCTGGAATCAACAGGGATTATCCAGTAAACTTGTAAGTATTATTTGCTTCTGAGAGTATTTGGTTATGCCCCCCCCCCCCCCCCCCCGGTGGCTAATTCTCAAGTTTAGATTTAACCAGGAGACACTAGAGAGAAAAAAACGTTCTTTTTCTTCGGGCTCTATTTTAGAAGGGGAAAGAGTAAGGATGGAATGAGAGAGAAAGAAGGAATGGAAGATAAGGAAAAAGGTAGAGTTCCTCTGTTCCTAAGGAACAAAGAAACAGCGTGAAAAAGAAATGGAGAAGAAGAGATGAAAGGGGAAATAGGGAAAAAGGGAAGGTAAGGAGATGGTTTTGATAATCATGATCAGGAGATGAGTGAAAAAAAACAACACTGATTTGCTTATGAAATGTTCTCTTTGCTGTAGTTCTATGCCAGGTAACATGACCACGTGGTGCAATATTGAATGTGAATGTTCACCCTCGGATTATTTTCCTGTGTGCGGTGTTGACAAGATAACATATTTCTCGCCCTGCTTTGCTGGTTGCCAGAAGAAAATAGGCACAGAGGTAGGAAAGCAACTGCTAATCATTTAGTCGTTTATAGATACACCTATGGACACACCCACTGACACCGTACTGAAGCAATCACTGACTGCAGACACATCCAGCAACTATAAACACCTTATTTACTGTAGATATTCATTGACTGTACACACCTATTGGCTTCGAACGAAATCAGGCACCCACCAACTACAGACACCCAATTACTGTAGACACTACTCATTGACTGTAGACACCCACTATGAGACCAAACTACTGCAGATGGCACTAGTCATTGACTTTATTTGACCCATTTCAAGAGCGTTCACACAATCTGACAATGTAGTTACCAACCGACTACAGACAGCCAATTAATGTAGACACTCTGACAGAAGACACCAACTGACTGTAGCAGTTGAGTGTGGACACCCACTGAGTATCGACACATGCTGAATATAGACACCCACCGACTACAGACACCCAATAACTGTAGACATAGACACTCTTTGACAGTAGACACCAGTACAGAGTTGACTGTGGATACAAGCTGACACTGTGGACATTTCTCTCTTTACGTTCGCGTGGGCAAACGGCAGTCAGACCAGATACTCATTTACAGGCTATTACACGAGTTATGGACACCCATTTTAATATAACATATAGATTAACAAGTTTCTTTCCCCTGGTTCCTCAGGAGTTTGACCAGTGTCGTTGTATTAGTCCAGCATCAGAGGACACAAAATTTGGCTTTGCAAAGAAGGGGGTGTGCGATCGTGACTGTAAAAATCTGATTCCATTCTTATTTGGTGCACTTGTTCTTCTGGTGGCCAACTTCATGAATGCCACACCCAACAAGACAGTGGTCCTAAGGTAAGGATTACACTGTAATCATCAGAGACCGACTACATAAGACTACTGCAGCGTGCCTTGATTTCAGGTTCAGTTACTCAGGGTTAGACTAATTTTAGCGTCAAAATATTCACAAATATAAACGATAAAGCAAAGAATGCACAACTTCAACTATACAAACACTTTGGAATTCCAAGGTTATTCACTGGGTCTCATGAATATTGAAGCTAACCCTGAGAAACATTTGAGCAACAGAAATTTGGCAGCTCTAGGACCATCCTCTCTGGATTGTTCCTCGTYCTTTATTATTATTTTTCCAACTCAAAAGGAATGTGGCTAGCCACCCATCCCCCACCCCTTCCCCCACTTTTTTTGAAACTTGGCAATCTAACCTCGTTAAATACCCTTCGAGCAGGAACTTCACTAAACACTATAAGTCTTCCTTGACGAGGAAAATTCCGAGGATGAGGCCGTAGGCCGAGTCCAATTTGGCAGTCAGAGGAATTTTTCGAGTCTAATTATTTCTTGATTGGGGAGCATGAAATCCCATTACCTGTTAATTATATAGCTGCCTAATTAATCCCATATCAACAAGACCTGTCCAATTAAGAAAATAATTGGACAGTTACCTATATGGGATTATTGAGAAGCTGTATAATTAGTTTCTAAAATCACGCACTAAATACTTACTTGATCGTACTTTCCTTTGAAGGTGCGTTCCTGATAATCAGCGGACATACGCGTTGGGTCTACAGTGGTTGTTCCTCAGCATCTTTGGTTCGGTGCCTGGACCAGTATTGTTCGGGACATTCATAGACAAGACGTGTATTCTCTGGGAGAACTCGTGTGGAAGGAGGGGAAGTTGTCTCGAGTATAATAACGAACTGCTGAGCTACCTACTCGTTGCTTGCGGGCTCTTTTTTCATGGTAAGTCACTATTTAACAATTATAAATGAATATCGGGGAATATTTATCGAGACGCGAGTCTTCGAGCCTTCGGCGAATAATTGTTTTAGCATATACCAACTCGTGTACAGAGTAATTTATTTTTATATACAATAATTCAATAAAAACAAACAAACAGAAACTTTTAGTTTGCATGACAAATTCATGCAAAACTTTCAGCAAAACTTTTAGCAAAATTTTAGGCCATACTTCGTTGCCTTTTTAGTATTGATAGGAATGGCATTTACTTTCATTTTTTAAATTTCCTCGTCGGAAATTGTAGCAAAACGATTGCCGGGAGATGCCATTTTGTTGCCGACTCAATATTCCGAGATTCAGAGGTGAATATCATACAATATTCACCTCCAATTAACCAATGAGCGCGAGCGTTCTTAGGAAGTATACAAGTTGGTATATGCTAATACATGTAGCGAACATGATGTATTGTGGTCTAGCTTGAGTGCAAACACCTTTAGTTTAGGGTGACTTATGCCGTGTTATTGGTACCCAAGCCACACCAGAATGCATACTGTGTATCAAACTTAGAAAAGGCCCATGGTCTTTTGTGAATTGTGACTCGAATTGAAAAGATTTATGTAACCTCTTATACCTAAGAACAAATGCTTCTATGCCTGCTCTTGATTGGAACCACCCAGTTTGGTTGACCCAGTTTGGTTGAGTTTTTTATGGCCACCCTTTTGAGGGGGATCACCTTATTGACCTAGACTGAAGATGCTGTTTCTATTCACTTTCTCATCCCTCTACTCAATTTTTCTCCAGTGCTTTCTACTCTTTTCTATTTCATCTCGTGGTATATCATCAAGCGACGCGAAGAACGCGAAGCCGCCGAGAACTCCCACACCAACTCCGTCATTGAATTCGCCTCTCCCGTGCCTGGCATCAGCAGCAGAGATGAAATCACAGACAGACGGTCCCCCACCCCCTCAAATGCACCATTCCTCCCAGGAGGGGAGGGTAATCTGGAATTGACTCCTCGATTCGCGGGACTGAACTCGACTCATATGGGTAACTCGCTAACACAACACGAAACGTCTATTTGAAGTCCAAATTCATAGAACATCGAAGCACAACATACATATTAAAAGCGGTTTCATTTAACGAAGACGATCTCTAATCCAGAGTTATCGTTGATCTTCCTGTACGTTTTCAAAAATTAGAATGTCTAGAGTAGTACTACATCAAAAATTCATCGTTTTTCTTCATTTGTTTGAAATTTTTCAAGTTGGTTTTAAGTAACAAGAATCGCTTTTTTTTTCAAGTCCCAAAGTATTTTTTTACAACTTTTTGTTCACCTATCATAAACATTTTTTCTATTTCTCGAAATTCAAATAATGAGTAAGATAACGAACGCGTCTCGCAAAGAATTGTGGGGCTGAATCAACTCGGATTCATTCAATTTTGTTATAATTCTTTCTTTGGAATTTAGAAGGAAAAATATGTCAATAGTGGAAAAATTATTTTTTTGGTACTCTTTAAACTTTTCATGATATATATATTGATTTTGTCAAAATATTTATCCCTTGGCATGGGATCTTTCGTTATTTCACATTTATATTTTGGGGAATCACTTGATATCGAATCGTTAGTTTTTATCACTAACCACGTGACAGTTCTTACATAATTCCTAGAATAGACTCTTTGCAGTTAACGGTCACGTGTCTGTTCTTGAGAGCAAAATTTTTGTTTTTATTTTAAATTGGTGATTCTTTTTAGCTACTTGTAAAGAATTGAATGAAAACGTGTATCCAGTGTGTTACGAAATGTAGTTTGATTACGATCTCTCGAAACAGGTTGTAGAATTTTGTTTGTTCACCAGTATAATTCACCCATGGGAATCAAAATGTTCATTCATTGCTCTCAGTGAATTAATAAGCACGTGATTACCGGGTTGCAAAGGGGGACTATTACGTCATCAAAAATACGTCTCATTTCGTATAACATCTCGAAATATGTTTTATTAGAAATTATTGTTTGTGAATTGAATTTGATATTTATATGATTCATAAAAATAACTTGCACCCATAGATTTTAAGGGTGTAAAAAAAGGCATTGAAGAAAATTAAAATTTATAGGTATTTATGCTTTTTGAAAATGTAGTATAAATTTGAATAATGGACAAAACGTAAAATAATTGTATTACTTAGATTTAAGATATAATTATGATGACTATTGATGATGAAGAAGCCTCGAGTTCCTTCTTATCATAAACGCCCGGTTTTAAAGTCGAATCTGATTGGTTCAAAAATAATCTGTCAACGAATTGCTAGTTGTCATGACYGACGTAGAAGCCGCCATTTTGAATGACATTTTGTCTGAATTCTTGCGATAGAGACGGAACCACAGGCAGCCCAATTTAGATAAAAGTGCTTACATTTTCGTCCAAATTGGGCTCCCTTTGAACACAGCTGATTAAACAGGTTGGCCTTGTATTGTTTCGTTTGACATCTGGGTCGGATATAGTCTTAATCTTCTTTAGTTGTAATGACGTAAACCGTTCACGTTAAACGTAAAGCTAAAACTCGTATCGTACTGAGGCTTTGTGAGACAGGTTTCATAACCAACTGCACCGCGTAAGATGCTCACCATTTTGTACAACTTACATGACAAAACAGTCGCACTAAAAGAGGTAGAACGTGCACTACTTTCTGCTCGTAAAACTACAACTGTGTCCGAAGATCCGAAGACAAGTTCCCGTGAAACTCTTGTCTCGCAAATGCCCCTGAACACAAGTTTTAGTTTAACTTTAATTCCTGTGTAACAGAGTTCTTTAATTTTTGGATYATTAGTTATACCTTTTTAAGTACTTTGTAAATACTGTTGAGTTTTAGGGGATATATACATGGGGTTACTAGGCAGTTTATCAAATTATCGTTCCTTTATTGTATAAAAACTTCAATAAAATAAAAAAAATAAAATCCATATTGTATATATTAAATAGTCCTGTTGATAGTACGCAAAAGATTAAATAGCTATATTTTCAAGAGGGTAAAGGTCAAATCAGAATCTAAAATTGTTGAATTACGGACGGAGGACCCGTCAAAAAGCCCTCGATAGCATAGAAGAGAACACTAAACATATCGAACAGACTTAGCTCGCATACCAGAATAGTTCCCTTCATAGTTCCCTGCGCCATCTTGAAAGGTAACCGTGCCTTTGCATCGAAGCGAGACGAACGATGTTAAAAAAGGTCTCTATCATTGCAAGCTCACCGTTTGTCTCGCTTCGATTTGTTCCTTTTTCCCATTTAGTTAGCTTGGAGAATTATTAGGTTAAGTTCTAAGGACCGATTTATGTCAGTTTAGTTTAAATCATTTATTCATGCCGTTTAGTTGATAGGATCTATTGTAATTGGGGAAAACCTGTAATAGATTCCTAGCCTCTCTTATTTGATCTCTTATTATTCAGCGATACGTTTTAWAGTCTTCTTTCTTTAACCCACTAGCTATCGATAACCTAAGAGTTGGCTATAAGTAAAATAAAATAAAATAAAATAAAGGCACGGCTACCTTTCAAGATGGCGCAGGGAACTGTAAAGGGGACTATTATTCGCCTAGGTTACTAGGGGTAGGGCGGCTGAACGGTTCTTCCCCAAACCCTCACGGCTAGAGTCCGGGTAAAGAAGAGGGTCTATGACTCCTCTTCTTGGGCTTATGATTTGTCGAGATCAATGTCTAGTTTCCTAGCTCCCCCACCTCTTTTTGAAATCCGGTACACACCCCTAGAGAGAGGTGAACTGGGGGATTGCAGCTCACAGTTCTCTTTTCGTGTTAATAAAAAGAATCATTGTATAAAATTAATTCCTTATTTCAATACGAGCTATCAGGCTTAGGAGTAAACACGGCATGGACGTCAGCCTTAGGTCTCGACACTGGTAGCCATTTGTACTTTAGATCTTGTCCCTGGGGTAGTGACCATTCATAACGATGAAGTAAAAACTTTGCTATTAACTGTAATGAAAAATAGGATCGAAGATAAATAGGCGGGAAAACGTTGGTCTAATCGCCATTCATTTGGTTGGTTGCTTTTTCCAATAGAGGTTTTGCACTATCAGGCCGTGCCCACGCCCATAATCCAACTTGGGCTGCCTGTGGTTAGATGGCTGAACACTAAATCCGGCCTTTGCTCTTGGGAATTGCCCATACAAGCTTTGAGAGCTGAATGTAATTTAATGAAGAAAAAATAATAATAATAAATAAAATAAAAGCTAATATTTACTCACATGAAGTGTTGAAAGAACTAGGATGACGTATACAACGCCTCATGTGAGTAAATATTAGCTTTTATTTATTTTATTATTCATTTTTTTCGTTAAATTATATTCAGATCTCAAAGCCTGTATGGGCTTCCTGTGGTAAAAGGATTGTGCTGAGTTCCTGCCATCTAACATGGCTGTAAAACCTCTATTGCAAACCAGAAATCTATCTGGATAACCAATAAAGCATTATCGTTTGTGTGCGACTCCGTTTACAGTAAGCACTTTTCTTCTCTAACTTACTTTTATAATCCTATAGATGAAGGAATGCCCAACACACACTCTTGGACCAGAACCAAACGTCCAGACCAAATCTCGATCCTTTAGATTGCTTGAAAACAATTAAATTAAATTTAAACTTCTATAAATTGCATGAAAAATGTGATGGTCCAATTCAGAAAGTCGTGAAATTATACCTGCGCGCTGTCTTTCTTGACTGCGCACTTCATTTCACAGGTGTTGCCTGGTTTCGATTTGTTTGTTTATTTTGGGTGGGGGAGACTGTAGTCTCCTACGCAGCCGGTATTAGTGTCATCACGCCACGCTCACTCCCCTAAGTAGCTACTTAGGGTAGTAAGCGTTGCGTGACGAAACTAATGGCGGCTGCGTAGGAGACTAGCGAGACTGGAATTTTAGTCATAATCATCCTCTTTCTGTAACTTAGTTATAGTATAGTTAAACCTCAAGGCTACGCATTAGATTTTAGATGTCATCTTAATGTCATAATTAAGTATCTGGACAAAGTTGATGCAAAAAAAAAATCTGTWTGTAGGCCTTACCCCCTCCCCCATCGTCCCCTAATTGTCTCAGAGGAGCATCTTCCCGTGGACACAAGTTTTAGTGAAGGAAGAAAAGTGAGTAAATCGAGAACAGCTTACCATGTTTGCCATCGTTCAGGGTTAAATTGATAAGGTTCAGGAAAGACTTTAGGATCACAGTTAGCAGCTCGTGTCAGGTACGCTACGTAGTACCCTTCTGGTATTCTGTAGCCATCGATTATTACTTCCTGAAAGATTGAAAAAGGACGATGTAAATATCATCATCTATACCATCAACTCTACCGTGCAACATCAGAAACGCCAGAAACACCGCGGTACCACTAACCTCTAGATCTACCACCACAAACTCCTCTTAAGGCGCTTCTCAAAATATATAATAGCACAAAGTTTTCAAGGGCACGTGCCTATGTAATGGAAACACCTTGGAAGTCAATGCCCGCCAAAACCTACGTCGTCGCGAGGACGAGTTTGCGCGCTATGTCGGAGAAGCACTAGCACTATTGCATTAGGGTTATCACATCACGCTAGGTGTGAAAGTGCAGTTTATGTGGACTAGATACAGTAGCTTTTGTGTGGTTCTCAAACGGCTATGGTAAGGAATTGACAGTGACATCTTATTAAACCAATCACAGTGCGCGGAGACATTGCTATTCCATTCAATGCTCGGACACAGCACCGTTACGATCACGACACGTCACGACTGTGACTGACTTGTCAAAACTCAACGCGCACATGCATATCGTGGCAGTGAAGCATTTCACATGAAATGTCTAAAAAAATGCCACGATATGGTATAGCATGTAGACTCACCTTTTTGGCTTTTCTTCTTCCACCAAGAAATGGCGGCCACAGTCTCGTGACCTCAAGCAGCACATCATCGAGATAGTTGTCATCAGTAGCAGCCTTCTGACGTCTTTCAAACTATGAAAAGCGAAACAATGATGAGGAGACAAGTGAAAGCAAATCAACTAGCTGAGATTTTAAAGTAGACAGTCGCGTGCATTATTTTGCCCGTAAGTTCCCTTCTCCATCATCTACTGAAGAAAATTACACAATAAAACGTGCGAGTGTGCTTTATGCATTTATAAAGTACGCGGAGATTGGAACAACACGAGGAAAACGGCACACAACAGAGCAAGCAGGTTTTTACAAATTAAAATAACCGTTATTTTGGAGATAGAAAGTGTGCGCACGTGCTAGGTATACTGTCATAAGAAACGCGCCCCCAACCAATCAGAAGGTGAGATTTATAACAGTAATTTTATAGCACAACCGGTAGAGTTCATACTATATATCCGTGAAAAGCTTAGTAAGAAATTGCACAAATGTGAACAAATTAGTAAGTTCAGTAGACCTCAATAGACGGTAGACCTACAAAACTTTGCGCAAATCAGTACAATCTTGTTAGTTCACTTTTCCACCAGGATGCATGGTATGCACTTGTACCTTCAACTCAATACGGTACGTCGTGCCATAATAAATGTTTGTATGTTAAGAGGATTTTTTTTCAATAAAGAGCGATAATGGCAAAAAGCGCCAAAAACTAGACCTTCGTATGAGTTTTGATCCCAATTTTCGTTTTTGGGTTAACACTCAAAACCTTTTTTTAACAGTTAGAAACTGATGTACTATGATAAAATGCTTGTTTGAAGGCGTATTTTCAATTGTACAAAGATGTTTTGTTGCATTTGTGTTAGAATGTTGCTTTGTCAGGCTTTTTTATAGAAAATGTATGGGAAATAAGCAAATGAAGGCCTAAACCTCATTTTCGAGTAAAATTTTTGCTTTGGGTTTAACGCTTTGATTCCACTTTCATCGGTCATCTTCGCTTCCAAACAAGTTAAACTTTCTGAATAACAAGATTTTAGCCTCGTACAACAGCCTTTCTTCAAGAAAATAGTTTTGGCGCTCATGGTTGAATACGAAAAGAATTCTCTCTTAAACTTAATTCTTGTCAGTATCAAAGTTAAACTCGTAGGGGTTTCAAAGTCTGCCTTGGCATCCACATACAAAAAATCACGAATTACGATACTTATTTCCAGTTAGGACACCTGATACTTACATTGTGAGATTTCGAAAGCTCTAAACAGAAAGACACCAATAAAGATGCAAGGGCCTTGGGTACTAATGCTGATACAAACAAAAGCAGGTGATTGGTCAATTCTTTTGTGGACTCAAACTCAGCTTCTTTCAAAATCTGAAAAACTGACCTACAATTGAAAAGGCAGCAGATAATTATTAGCTATAAATTATATATTAAGGATAAGCACAGGTAACCAAAGCTACGTGTGTCACCTCTATAAGGCAATGTATGGAGATTTTTTAAACACCGTAATTCAATGGAAATACTTCAATCAAATTTACCTTTCTTAAATGGCGTGTTAGGTTGTCCATTGTAATGTTTATGACGAGTTTTGGGAGAATGTGAGTCATTTTAAACCCTCTTCCAAAATAAATGGTGACACACATATCTTGGGCTACCTGTGGGATAAGATGTTAGGAAATAGCAAACGTTTTTCTTACCCTTCAGATAGATTATTGCTTCCTACTTTCTTTGTGATGATTTCCAGTAGTCTTTTCTGTAAAAATGATTAAACATTTAGTAGCGGATCAAGGCATTTTAGAAGGAGGGTGACTATTACAAAGGTTTTACCAGGAATATGAGAAAAAAGGGGGGTGCCTTACTAGGGATAACACTGAGAAATCTAAGCAAAAGGGGGGGTGGCTAGCCACTCTTTTCACCCCCCCCCCCCCCATGGATTAGCCCCTGATATTACATAATTTCAAGAACTTATCATTTGTCCAGGATCACTATTAGCTGATGCATGGTGTGTAGATGGTTAACTTGAGTGAATTACCCACCTTGGCAGCCATTGCTTTACTATAGCCAGACTTCTGGCCATAAATGTTGATATTCAGTGGTATGGAAATAAGCCCTGTAAAGTATCAAATAACAAAAAGTCATCTGGACTTCGTAAGTACATACAATTACACAAAGATGCTAGATAACCCATTTCCCAAAATGTGAGTTGAGTGCACTACTGCTATAGTATGTCACCCTTAATGCTCTTAAGATGCTGACACACAGTGCAACATTGCATGCAACATTGCAAGCAGCAAATTTGAATCGGGGTGACACACATTGCAACAAAATCACACAACATTACTTGTGTCAGCCTGCTATGTTAAGATTATAATATATTATTTAGTCAGCAGTTATAAATTTGGTGCAAGCTGATCGGCTGGAAATGTCAAAATGCTACAGGTAATGTTGCAGCCATGTTCACATGATGAAACTTGTTGTGCGCAATGTTGCAAGAGTAGAGCACGATTCAACTTCAGTTTTGTTGCATGCAATGTTGCGTGCAACAAGTTTTGGGCAGACACACGCTGCAACGGTCCTGTTGTGTGCAATGTTGCATGCAATGTTGCACCATGTGTCAGCACCTTTACATTTGCTGGGGAATCAAGAACTTACCACGCCAATGAGCAATTGTCAAGTCAATAATATCTTCAGCTTCATGACTCGCCGATTCAAAATCCAACCCCAAGAAGAGAGTGAGTGAAATCTCGGTTGTCAACAACTTTAATGTCCTATACAAGGGCACAGCTGGCTCTTCATGCAGACTATCAAGAAGTCTACTACATATCATGTCTACCTCACACAAGTGTTTAGACATGTTCTCTGGTTTGAGACAAGAACAAAGGACCTTCCGCAATCGGACAGCTTCGTCGTCAGTGTTGAATATCACAAGATCACCAAACAGACTATACATATAACCAAAATCCTTGTAGCCCATATCTAAGGCATGTGCTTGATCTAAAAAAAATAATGAATGCAAATGTTTATTATCAAGACTTAAAAAATATTATTTCCCACCCGGCTTACTGGCCCTATGAAATTCTAACCCAAATTATCAAAGGAGCTTGTCCTAGTTTATTATAAAAATTCCTCAACAAGTGCTCTAAAACACACCCCTCTGCAGTTGTCCTTAAGCTTCCAGCTTTTCCTTTGAAAATTCAATTCCCAAAATAAATGTAAATATGTAGAATAGGGCTAAAAAATAATATAAACAGTCATCTTACAATGTCTGCCTCTAAAACACACCCCTCTGCATGCAGTGGGCCTTAATAAGCTTCCTGTTCCTTTGAAAATTCAATTTCCCAAAATACATGGAAATATATAAAACAGGGCTAAAAAATAATAACTGGTCATCATACAATGTCTGCCCAGATTTGGAACTTGTCCAGTCAAATCTTTGCCTTGCCAGTCATTTTGACCAGTAAAGTTGAGCCAAAAATGAGGTACTCAAATTAAAATTGTGACTCATGACTAGTGAGTGACTGGCCAATAGTTTTAGCCCTAAACAACAAGATCGTACCTTGAAAGATCTCTTTGACTCCCTGACTTGAAGCAACAAACACATGGGGTCTATTCAAAGCCCTGGTTTGAAAGACTCTACTTCCATAGCTATTTATTCTACTATGGATAAATTCATTTGGGTTCTTGGCAAATTCTATTGTCTTGTCACCTGTGATGGGCCATCCAACAGACCCTGGTAATGTTGACATCTGAAGAGAAAATATACTCAAAAATATACTCTGACATTTAAACAAGGGCAATTCAGAAGAAATGGCTAGCGCTAGATTAACACTTGGAGTTTTAAAGATAAGAATAAAAGGTAATGTAAAATCTAAAGAGGAAGAAATACACTGGCCTATTTTTTCAGATACCAACCACTCTAAGTCCCTTCAAAGCATCCTAAATCTGCTACAAATTCTTTATCTAAATGCTTTTAAATAAGACTAACATTAACAGCTACTCAAATTTACACCTGCCTAGAAATGGCAGAGCTGAAAACCATGAAATTTCATTAGAAAAATACTTACTTCATCTCTAGGCAATCAGCATGCAAATTTATAATGAGCTACAGGGTTGTAGTCTACACATTAGCAGGTAATAATATCCAAAGCATATATACTTAAGGGAATGACATTCGATAAGCCATGGGAAATTATTGGAATAATTTAATTAAAATATATCATTTAATAGGGTGTACCGGTTTGCCAAAAATTACAAGGTACAAATAAAGATTGATTGCCGTGTTGATCCAGTTGTTTACTAACTAACACGTATATGGAGTAAGAAGATTTAATGATAAACATTAGATAAACACAAATTAAAAATACAAAATATCGCCCTACTAATTCGTACAATATCAAAAACAACAATATTTTTTTACTGTAACATGATAGGATCGTTTTCTTTCTTCTCCTAACTTAAAAATGCTATGATTTTTACCACATTTCTGATAGAAATACTGCAAAACAACAGCTTGTTTCTAGAGGACAGCTTTTACTATGTCTGGGTTGACAACTTTGAAGAGAAATGAGAAACCAAATTCGGAAATTGTATCAACTATCTGAATAATTTATTGAAACGAAGAAAATACTAACACTGTTGAAAAAATCTTTGAATTCATAAAGACAAAATACAATAATTCGAATCGTGACCTGACGATTTGATCATAATTAAAGCTTTCAGTGTGCATTCCGTTTCGTTAGCCGAGTAGCTAGGTAAATAGTCAAGTGAAACTAAAATGGCTTACCTTCGGCTCTATACTGGGTTCCTTGGCATTTGCAGCAGTTTAATGGTTTTCTATTCATCGACCAAGACCCGGAGAACAGAGATCAGGCGACAGGATAACATGTAAAGGCCACATAAATAACCACATACCGTATCAACATATCTATATTCTTCACATAGGCAGTCGACCCATATATAATTCCACCATTCAAAACAACCGATTTACGAATGATAAAAAACACAGAAACAGTATGAGTCTCGGAAAATAAGATTTGGAAATATCTAACCCTTGTAAAACTTTCACCCTTATTGGTGTGGAGAGAGTAAAAATAGACAGTTCGAATGTCATAAATTATTCAACGCATGTCAAAATTCTCAGGGTTAATTAATTCTGCTCCCGCGAACCCTTCCCGCCATTCGCCATTGGATTATTTCGTCCCTCGCTAAAATTTCCGTGAGATAGCTTCGGGATTCGGCTTCGGAAAGATGTCGTTTATATATTGCTGCCGAAAATGTCGGATAAAGCATTTTCATTCCAGCTTGGCAGGTTAGTGTTACTATGGGGATGATCCCAGAAAAAGGAAAAAACTTGATAAGCATCAAATGTGACTATTTATAAAATTTAAGTCGCTATTTCCTGTACCCCCGACTGAGATTGAAAGGCAAGGGTCACACGTCCACAAAGAGACAACTCAACCCAATTACTCAGGAAACAAAAAAAAAAATTCTATCTTATCTGTAAAAAAAAAAATAAAAAAAAATACATTGTTAAGATAGAATTACAATATCAAAAGAAGTATTTTGTCTCAAAAATAAATAAATCCAGAATGGCTCCTTTTAGTGTTTGGCTTTGTCTTTTACTTTTTGCATGATAATTTTTAATGACCGTTTAAAAAATTAATTAAGAAAATTTTTTGGCTTTTATTTGAGGCTAATCTAAAGGAGTGATAGAGCTCTTCTCAAACTCAATATTTCTGAAAACTAAAGCATTCAGGAGACAAAATGACAAACAAGTTTCGCCTTAATCGATGACGGATTTATCATTAGCCTTTGCGGGCTTCCTGTGTAATCTTGGAGCAAAAGTCAAGAAAATAACTTATGCCAAAAGTTATCGGTGCAGCTGAACAAAATCAAAAACAACCATTTCAAGTATTTTCCATTGGCGACAGTTGAATCTTTTCTAACTTGCAACAACAGGTCTAGAACTAAATGTGTTCTTTACTTCTAATGCAAATGAGCGTCTAGTGTTTAGCATGATTAGGGGGGTGGTCTGGTTGACGGGGGCCCCTCATTTGCATCTGCAAAGGTCGTCTGCATTGTTTGTTGAGCTTCACGTTTGTATTACAGGCGCGTTGGTGCTCTTCTCTCCTTCAAGCTTGGGTGACTTTTTTCATAGAATGACCACAACCCTTCTCTTCTTGTTTGCTTGAATCCTGCACCATTGAAGGGCTGCCTCTTACGAGGAGATCAAAAGGTAAGGAGAAAAAAGAGATCTCTCGTGGTTGGCTTGGTGAACTTTGTTTTTCCAAGCGACCGTTCCAGTATTTTCTGCACGCTTTTTCTCTCGATAATTAATCTATAAGCGTCTTTTCATCTTTAAAAGATTTGCTCTGGATTCAAAGCATACTAACAATTTATTGAATGTAGAACTCGAGAATTGGCTTCGTGATCGTGCAAATCCAAAGCTATTATTAGACTACTAGATTAGATTTCTTGAACAATTCATAATTTTGTCGTCACTGACCGCAAAAATACTCTAGTTCTTGGACGATCTTCTTCGAATAAATACTAACTCGTCAATTCGATCTTCGCCTTTCTTCCAGCATGTCTGAAGAAGTAGTAGTACGTCGTACTGGAAGAAGGATCGAGTCAAAAGCAAAGCGATGGAGCGCTCCGCCATCAGAGAAAGGCTTTTCACCTGCGATCAATACTCCTGATCAAATAACTCGTGATGTCCGAGGTCTAAAACTTCGCCAGCGCGTTTCCATCGTTCTTGGAGACGAAGTTCTTCGAGAAGAGCTAGAAGAGGTCGTTGGGAACGTAGATATAACGAATAAAACTACGAATCTCAAAAGTTACCGTACTTATCAAGATTTCTTGATTCCAACGGGAGGGATTGCTGGAGGAGCACAAGGAGTACCAGTTACACCCATAGCAGACATAAGAGGCATGGAGACGATCAAATTTTCTAAAGAAGAACGCTTACTTCGTTGTAAGATCGCTGCAGTCTATCGTCTGGCCCTAGAGTTTAACTGGGCTTCTTGTGACTACGATCAAGTGCTCTGTACCGTAAGTTATAACTTAAATTTATCTTTGTTCAGAAATCTCAGCCATTCATTTATTGCGCATTTCTTGAAGGTAAATTGAATTTATTTTTTATTTATTTTTATAAATCACACTTTACTGGAGGCGTCCAAAAAACGCTAATAAATAGAATAATTAATCCTTTTGGCGATATTAATCAGTATCTAGGTTTTTCTTGAATAATCTATGGTTATAATATAGATGGTTTCTAAGATAACTGATATTACTTTGCAACATTCATTTCCCTATATAAGGTTTTCTTCCTACACTGGTGTCGTTTTATCTTCATATTTCCCCCCCAAAAAACATTGCTGCTTTGATCTCAAAACTAAATCAGGGCAAACATCTGTTTGAAAAAGGGTTTTACTAATAACATAATTTTGAGGCAGACATCATTTTGTGTTTGCATCAAACAGCTGATTGCATGAGGTATATATATATATATATATATATATCCTATCATTCTACCAGGATTTTGTATCATGATTAACAGCATTAAAGTTATGTTGTAGACTTCAGGTCTCAAAGGATTCTATTGTTCTCTTGGTTTTTGTTTGAGTATTAATTTTAACAAAGATTAACTTTTTATTGGAAATTAGTGGTAGAAGGAATGAAATATAGCATAAATAAAGTCAGTATTGAAGGGTTTTTGGGTAGCTGTTTACGAGGTAATTTTTGGTTAAAACTTGAATAGCTCATTTAAGTGATCAGTAAGTTGAGAGATACGATGGTGCTTGGGCTCAGAAAGTAATTTTTTTAAGGTGGAGCTCAGTCATATAAAGTTATGACTGAAAATTGCTTTATAGGAGCCTCTGAAACAAATAGATAAAATCTTTGATGATGGCCGTCAGAGAGAACTTAGAGAAAGGACTAAATATTAATCATGATTATCGTATTTCATTTGTAGATGGTTAGTAGAGTGAGACCTATCCTAATCATTTTAAAACGCATTGTTAAATAGCTATCTTACATATTCTTTTGTAGTGTATATATCTATGGATAGTCTCTAGCATTCATAGAATCAAAAGTAAACATGTAAGTGGCTTTCTTCAGTTTACTTGCTCGTTTTGTTTTAGAATCAAACATAGTATGGTAGTTCTATAGTAGTATATTAAATACACTGTAAATCATAGATAATAATAAACAATATGACCTGATCTGCTTTCTGTGTTTCCAGTGAACATTTTCTTGGATTGCCTAGAATTACAGATTTTTTCTTGTAGTCTCACTGACTCTTTGTTCTGTGTTGTCCATGTGGCTTAGCTATAGACTAATTAAGTAAACATAAGACAAACTCTTCGTAGGTTTGGCTATATTAAGCATGTTGTACACATTTATATAAATTAAGTTATCGATGAATTTCAAAGTATTTTTGAAATAGTTTTAGAAGTGTGCCTGCATGTGTATATGGGCCAACATTAAAATATATTCATGTGTTGAAGCCAGAAAATACTGCAAATTATTTGACACATTGTACAGTCGTTATTGATTAGCAATCTGTAATAAGAAAAACTAGCCCATCAATTATTAATGCACTAGAATCTTTTGTGGAAAATACTATTTTGTTTAGTCTATTTTTAAAGCATTATTTCACACAAAAGAAAAATAGTGTGACTTTCCTTCAAGGTTTCGTAGTCTGGCTGACTCAAACTTGTTATTTCACAAAAGGATTATTGAAGCTTATTATTATTACCCCTCAATGTAGCCATCTGATCTGTTGTTTTAATGCTTGTGTCGTTATCTTTGATAATTTAACCTGTTTTTAGATCAGAAGAGATAACTAGCTAAAAACTGTGTGAGTTGGGTTGGTGTTTCTAATGAAACAATAATAAAAGGGTAAATTTTACTCCGTGAAAAGATGAAAAAACATTTTGGACGCTAGTCCTTTGTCAGAGTAAAAGAGAAAGAGGTGGTAGAAAGGAGTGTTTATATACTGAGAACAAGACAACATTTTATTAACAATTTGATCAGACATGAATTAAGCCATTTCTGTTTTMCCTATTTTTGGCTTGATTAATKTTCAWCAGAWWMTSTAGGCCCAGAAATTATCCATMYCYCCCCYCCCCCCCCCCCCMCAGGGGATTTTTTTGTTAAAGACCTTCCACCCCCAGAAATTCCAATTTTCTTCCATAAAAACTGTAATTTTGTTCTTTAAATTCCAAATTACTCTGTGAGGAGGGAAAGGGATATGGATAATTTTTGGTACTGCACAATAAAATTTAAAAATTTTTCAAAATTAAATTCTTGACAATTTTTTTAATTTCAAAATTTTTGCTGTCCTTCTTAGGCCAGAGCCACTGAAGATGACTACTACTACCTGACCTCTCCTGTAGGAGTACTTTTCAATGAGATAACAGCAGCAAGTCTCATCAAAATGGACCTTGAGGGCAACACTGTTGAACCTGGCAACACTAACTTTGGGTCAAACAAGCTTGGTGATCAAGTACACTGCATTGTATATGAGGCATTGAAGGACGTCAACTGTGTGATGTGCCTGACATCAATGGCAGTCAAAGCAGTGAGTGGTGCTTCCTAGTTTGCTTATCAATGTTTGTGTCTATCATAACTTGCACAAGGACTTCTGAGCCCCCTCGAAGTAGGAAGGGGACTGATCGAGAGTTAAAAATTAGCTACAAAAGGGAAGACTGAAGACCACTAATTTAGTCTCTCCCCCTCTGTGCTCCCTGTTGTGAAACAAGTTTCTCATGTCATAATTATAATTTTTTGTTGTCGTAGGTCAGTGCAATGGAGTGTGGTTTGCTTCCCATTTCAAAGGATGCTGTTGCAGTAAGTGTATTACGATTCTCTAATGTTCACCAATTTAACCAAAACTACTAATTCACGGGACAAATTCTGATCGGCTCTAATTTTCAGGCTTGTTACTGCCCGGGGGGGGACTCCGGGAAAAAAGTACCGGGGATGCTCGTCGTATCTCTTAGGGGTAAATGTGAATTTTTGAAAATCAGCATTTTCTGGTATCTCTTAAGGTGTCGGAAAAGGAGAGCTAAGCGCACATCGATATGGCTTATCCTAGGCGCTTTTTATGTAAAATTTAATATTATTTGTTGTGGTATCTCTTAGGGGATTAAAAATCATTCAGCCACGCCCTTTTTAAAATACTTCCAGTATCTTTTAGGGGTCTTTTTGAAAATTTCCGACGATCATCCCTGGTACTTTTTTCCCGGAGTCCCCCCCCCCCCCCCCTCGGGGTTACTGCTCATTCTATGAATATCCTTGGACACAACACTGGCACAATCACAATGCACTCTTGTCTAGCTGTATTGTGAGTTTTGCAAGACGCAAAAAATGTCATTAATTTGAATAATTGATTTTTGTTCAAATAGGTTGGCGAGGCTACATACTATACATTAAGTGGAGTGGGGTTTGATAAAGAGGACAAGGAGGATCTGATCAGAAAGTGTGAAAAAATTGACAAGGTAACACTCACTAGAATGAGAACTACCACCAATGATTCTCTACTTTCACATTCCCATAATGCCTAGCGTCTTTGGAGGGTAACCAATCAAAAAACTGTCCCAAATTGAAAGGTTTCTTAATTGAATTTATACTATACCTGCTTTTATCTGTACAATACTGATTATCAGTTTATTCCAAGTTATTTTTGCGTGTACAGATCATCATGAGTTTTAGTCTTACAGAAAGTGTATTGACTTACAAAATTTTTTTTGCCTTAAACGTCTTCAAGCTTCTATATTTTTCTGTTTTTTACTTCTTCGTTGTATTTTTGGATACCAAACAAGGTATTGTCAACATTGTCTGATCAGCCTTCAGCAAAATAACCCTCTGGCTACCCCCCAAAGACAAAAAGTATTATGGGGATGTGAAAGTAAAGAATTCTTGGAATTCAGTGGGTGAAGAGCCACTTTGTGGAAGTGCCACTGTTAATCATGTTTATTTATTTATTCATTATCATTTATTAACTCGTGGATACGCGAAGCGTAGAAACGAGTTATTGTGAGGGGTCTGAATATGCAAATGTGTCACTCGCTCACTCACTCACTCACTCACTAAGATGTTAGCAGATCGATAATTAAACGTTTGTCGATCGTCTTACGTCATCCGATTACGAATGTTACACGACACTAACAAGCACAAAGCTCTTATACCATATAGATTACTTTGATATTTATATGAGGAAACGAAATGCTCATGTTCCATGTGGGATACATTTCTATCACCTGTAGACGCCGTGGGGGCCCACTGTGCATGCGCATACTCGCACATAGTTTTATCTTCGAATTATTCATATTAAAAGAATCAAGGAAAAAAGCAAGTCGAAGTAAAATTATACAATTAACGCCTGAAATAAAATTTCAATGAGTTAGACCTTTTTTTCTGATGTATTTTAAAAAAGTAAACAAAAACGCCTATTAGGTACGACGTCAACATTTCGATTTCAGACTGAGACTCGTAGATCGAGCCGGTTATCGAAAAAATTAATTAGAACTCAAGAAGAGAGTCTGATTTCAAGCTCTGGAGGACTTTATTTTCCATAGGGACAGCTCAAAGTCACGGTGGTATTCAGCATGAATCTCATAAACTCGATCGAGAGAAGTCTTATTATTACTGATCAACAGTTGTATTTACTAAAGTAAACTTCTTAAGAAAATAATCAATGTAGATGTATACGTAGATCGTAGAAAAAATAACAAAAGAGGAAAAAAATACCAATTCCAATGGAGTTTTGACGGAATTTCGGCCAGTTTTGTCATTTAAATAAGCCGTTGAATAAAAAGTAGATTGATCGCCACGCATTACAAGATTACAAACAGCTGAAGCAATGCTCAGATTGTATGTTGAAATGTGCAAAGGTCTAACGAGAATTCGCTACAATAAATAATCATTAATTTACCGACTTGGATGAAGGCAAAATAAATAGCATTTATAAACGCATTTCTATAAAATATTTGCTCAGTTCACAGCGTAAATAAATAGTTTCATCCGAAACAAATGTAGGAGCCATGACCATTGAAGGTCAAGATAAGTAGTAATGTAAATCAACACGCATAATGCAACACTTTATGTTTGTCGTCCCGATCGGCCGATTATCTTGTATATTCAGTTTTTGAGCTCGTAGGTCGAATGTTTGCTGGAATAAAACACACAGCCTGCCTTTGAAATTAAAAACAGAGAAAGCGTTTTCAAATAAATATTTTCAATTATACTCTATAGTTGACTCTACAGTTGACTCTATCGAAGTCGTAGTCGAAGTCGTCTTTCGTATTAATTGAAGTTCAGACAWTTAATTCATCACAGAAATCGCTTTCAAACTCAACAAAATAGCGAAGAATTAGGTGTTAAAAGGAAAATAAAAAGGACGATTACTCATCTTACTAGATAAATTGAGTATTCAAAATATTAAATCGAGTGAAATATTTGGAATCCTTTGAGAATGTCAACAAGCTGAGGGCACAGGAAGACCAATCTAAATATTCGAAAAGTGCAACAAGTATCCACGAGTTCGCCTAAGGGCCTTTGATTTAAGACCTAGAATTATTGAAAAAATACCACACCACAAAGTGGTATTAAGCCAAGTGATATATAGTCAAAAACAAATGGTACTATTAATTTTATTAATCCTTCAAAAACGGTGGTGTTTCGTATCAATAACATATCTATAAAAAAGAGACTTATTCCTCTCAGTGCAATGCAGTTTACAGAAAATACCTGAGACAATTTATTCATGTTTGTGTTCATTTGGATTCAATCAACAGGTTTTGTTCCTGAGGAATGTTGGTGCCGTTTGTATTGGCAAGTCAATAGAGGAGATGGTGTATGTTGCTCACTTGCTGAATCAAGCTTGTCAGTATCAGGTATGGTAATGATTATACTGTGCACAGGTTAGCACAACACGGAGAATAGACCTTCTTGGCTTGGGCGTAATGCTTTTCCATTTCTGACCTTGTGTCTCATTCCCTAGAGTATTATTTCTTTGTTTAGTAGTTGTGCATGAGAAGACACATGAATATGGATATAACTCAAACAAAGAATTATTATTATTCTCAATGGAATGACACAATGTTCTGAAATGGGAAAACATTACCCCCACACCGGGAAGCCTATTGTTAGGAAAAGCATGACTTAAAGTGGAGTGCTTCTCAACACTTTTTAAGTGCCTTAACTGCTTACAGTTCAGTAAGCAAGGTTTATCCTTTCTTTTATAACATACAAAATGACAGTAATCGTCATTTTGGATACAAATGACAAAATAGAAATTGTGCTCTTATAAAGCATGTGCCCCTAACCAATCATATTGCAAGATTTATAACAGTTGTTTAATAATTTTGTTTTAGATCAATGCAATGAGAGCTGGTGTGGAAAATCTGGTCCACATTGATAAAGATGTCAGGAAGAAGATATACCAGTCTCTACATGAAGCTGACGACACCAACCAGAACAAACAAAGAAATTCAAGCATTCTGTTTGCTGCCTGGATGCGAATGCTTGATGGAAAGGTATGAAAAGCATTAATGTTACGATATTTACCAGTATATAGTACTTTTTCCTAAAATTATTTTGTAATATGTCATTAAACCAGCACATGGAAAAGACACATTAATTTTGCTCAACATTCTAAAATGTTGTCAGAAGTTAAAAGTCTTAAACATTTTAGCTTTACAGAACAACCCATGTGGATTAGTGAAGCATCGGCCTATTGTTCAACAAGTTTTAAGTTTAATCCCCACAGTAAAAAAAAGCTGTTATTTTAAAAAGGGTAAAGATGTATTGTATAACCACAAAGAGTTATCTAGCATATGACCCTCTGATGATGACATTATAATTATGCTTAGAGGAGTTTGTTTTTAATAAAACAGGGCCACAAGACTGGATATGAGTACAGCACTGAAGTCTTTAAGAGGGAGGAACCACCGAGCCCCACCAAGCCCACCAAGGCCAAGACACCAGCCAAAGCAAGCTCTTTCCGTTATGAGCAACAAGACAGAGACTGTAACCCTGTTAGAAGAGCACACACTACAGGAAGGGCTTATAACAGGTAACCACCTCCTTTTCCCTATTCACTGGAGAAATAATCAAAAAGTTGGAAAGACTAAATTCCCCTAGCTGGCCTCAATAAATCTGCTACAGCCGTTCTTCTTCCATACTCAATATTACTACTCTTCCCAGCAGACCGAGGCAGTCATGATATATTTATAGTTTTCGTAGCTTCTGTTATGTTAACCACAAGTGTATTCCAAATCAACCATGTTATTCCAGTGTTGTTACACCTGATAAAATTTGACTGCACTTCAGTCTCATGGTTTTAAAAATTTGTTCACATGGTACAGCATTGGCATCACGTAGTCGATTTGAAATAAACTTGCCGTTAAGATAAAAGATGCTACGGAGGGGATAAAATGAAAACTGTCCTGGTCTAGTTGGAAGAGTGGTAAAAAAAACTTATGAGCTATGAGTGGTTACTTTGGAACCGTACGTTATTTTGACCTCCACTGTCCACTTTTGATGCTCGTTTTTTGAAGAAAAAGAATTAAGAGCTTGGGTTTGAGTTTGACATAAATCTGGATCCAACCATAAAAAAATGTATAATTAGTATATTACGAAAGTTTTAGTATCAAAAATATTTTGGTTACAGAACCAAGCTAAAATGGCTGAATGAGCCTGTCAAGTCAACAGAATACAAGAAAGAACCAAATCTGGAGTCACCGAACATTGAAACTGTGATTGCTAAGGACAGACAACCAGAAAGAACTGACAAGGATGCAAGAGAAATGGTAACAGTAATATTCTTGTTTTCCTTTACGTGTCTTTTTATATTCCCTGCATCTTTATTTTGTCTTATTTTCTTTTGCAACATTGGTGTCAAGATGGTTTCATTAAGATTGAGGCATTTAGTGGAATTTTCAGGAGTTTAGTGAGGTCTGGGTCATGGGGAGGGGGGCAATGTACTATTTCCCTTTTGAGTTTCCTGCCATAAACACGGGTTCAGTAACGTTTTTGGGGGGAGGGGTTGTTCTCTCTTATCACTAAGCCACTGTAAGCCATTTTTTTATTCGAAGAAACCTTATCCAATAAAGTGAAGTAAATAAATGCTTTTAAGATGTGTACCTATGTAAGGGTAAAGACCATCTAGAAGTTCATGGACAAAATAATGTTCTCCATTTCAGAATGAGATAATTGAAGAATCTGTTGGTGTGAAAGTGGAAGCTATATCAGAGTCTACACCGGATGAAGAAGTCAAGGTAGTTGAGACTACAGAAGAGCCCACAAAGACAACAGTAAGCTTTATCTGATAACTTGATTAATTAGCTTCAGCTTTGAATTCTGTTGTTAGCAGTATTTTATAAATCAAGAAATTCTCGTTAGCAACAAAGAATAAACCCTTTTTGCCTCTTGCTGGGTGAAATTCAAATATGGTTTTCCATACTTTGATGCTCTAGTATGCTGTAGCTAGAAAGCAATCTTCTCACAAGTCAAGTCTCAGTTTCTTCTTCATTTGCAACCTGAACCATCAAACCTTTTTAATTTGATCGCACAGTATTCACAGATTGTTAACAAACAACTGCCCTTTTTATGTCTCCCGCTAGCTTAATGACCAGTCCATACGTACCAAATCGATATATGGCAATCAAATTGAATAACTATGGTTCTGGACCAACTAGCAGGCAATGTTTTCACACAAAAACACAAAAGCATATTTCCCACATGTATGAGAGGCTAGTCAGTCTAGAACAATAGTTATTCATATTGGTCTCCATATGTTACAGTGTTAAAGATAACTAATATGTAATATATACAGTATGAGTGGCCGTGTTGAGGCAAAATTGAGGAGTAGCCGAGAGTTTGTATATCGGATACAACACGAACACGAATACTGTAGATTACTTATCAAAGGTCTAGGTTAGTTCCTTTGTGTTTCGCTAAAATTTTCAAAATTAAAGTGAATCTGACCAAGAAAATCCAACTTAAAGTTTATGCAAATGAACAGGATTCTGTATCTGATTTACAAAACTCATCACGGTCATGATTTCTGTTGTGTTTTCCTCATGAATTATTAATGAGTTTAATAATATCATATGAAAAACCTTTGGGAAACATACGGCTTTACCTCGAGCCAAATATTTTCCCGAACAGCATTCCCACTCAGTCAATAAGTACATAATCATTCTCTTTGTTTTAGGTGACAACAGTAGTAACAACTATTGAGACAAAGGCAGAAGAGGAGGCTAAAGAAAAGGCTGATGAAGCAAAGGAAGCTGATGACAAACTTCTTTCTCCAGGAGACTCAGGAAATGGCTCCAAGAAGAGAAAGAAAGTCAAGAAGAGCAGAAGTTTTAAGGATGCCTTGAAGGAGACCTTCAGCAAGAAGAAGTCTCCCGAGAAATCTAAAGAGAAGCATTCCAAGAAGGCAGCAGAGAAGACTGACTAATAAGGAAGACCATGATTTCAGCTACTCTATGTGCATAAAGTACAGCAACATTAAAGTATTTTAACATAAAGTATTTCGAGATCCAGTAACAAGGCTGCCAAATAAGCATTTTAAAAATGTTGGTGTCAAAACGTTACAACCAATAAGTCGATTTTTCTGGAGAACAAAACATTGTTCAAAGTTAATACTCAACACATTCTCCTCCTTCATTAAAGAGTAATAAGTTGTTCACAAGCTGTTTTTTCCAGAGAAATCTAGGCTAAAGACATAATGGCAATCTTTTAACCTCATTAGTTTTAAGTGGTGTTAAGATTCTCAATCTTTGTAGTAAACGTATCAATTTATGACGTTTCAAAGCTAGGTTTGAAATAATTTTAGTGAAAGGTTAAAATAATAAAGAGAATATGTTAAAATATTTTGGGGTCAACTTACAATAGGCCCCTTGCACTGAGACCCGAGACAAATAATTATCGTTTTGGGGGACAAAACAATGGATTTTTTTTGCATGAAAAAAGACAGCCTATTGTTTTGTATCCCAGAACAATAATCCTCCAGGAAATCAATGCCAGGGGTCTATATAGCTTTTAAAATATCCAGTCATAATTTCTAGTAATATTCTAAGACAATCACAAAACAACTGGGCCATATTTCAAAATATGCTTTTAATTTTTAACTTACTTTTTTGTGTCTTCTGAAATTGTTAAGATATGTATGAGATAAATAAATAAAGTGTACTTACGATAAAAAATATGTGCGCTTGACTCTTTCAAATGATTAAATATTTGATAAAATGACCTATTCTGCTGTAAACGTATCATTACCCATAATGTATTACAACCAATTGAATTGATTTGTTAAAAAAGTATTCATTTGAATTGCCCTATTAGGAATTTTACATTTTTTTATAATTGTGTAATCCTTAGCTTTTACTAGCTTAGCTAAGTACTTTTCATGTTATTCCTGTAATTCTGAATTAAAATTAATTTAAACCCATTTTAAAGATGTGTTGACAGTTCTGGCCTTTTATCCTGAGGGATTTGTCTAATCCTTTTAGGAATTAATGTGTCTAAAACTCCCTGTTATCAGCATGTATAATATTGGGAGATTTACAATGACCTCTTGAAGAATGTTGAGTCCCTGCCAATACAGCAAGAACTCACATAGCAGCATTAATAAGGACTTGGAATCATTTCAAAATTTAAATCTGACATGGAGAGCAGAATTCAGGAAAAAAAGTCTGAACTTCCATAATCTCAAATCTTCTTAATAGCATTATACCAAGTGAGAGAAATATTGGAAATCTCCACAAGTTAGCTAACAGCTTAAAAACCAACAGATTGAGTGTTCCTTTGCAAAGTAAGCAGAATATGACTGATGTGATTGGTCCAATGTTGAAAGCCATGATCTAGCTCTTTGCTTCGGATGTTTTTTGACAGGCTCTTTAGGAACATTGAACCAGCTTTGCTTCAAATGACAGCTTAATATATTCAGTTTTACTGTGAGTATGTGATATATGTTAACTGATTGATTGCAGGGTCTGTGGGTAACCTTTAAAATTTCTGACATCAAATGACTTGGCCAGTCCAGCGGCTTTTATTGCCTCCAGACCAATATCTCTGTAATGCAAAAATAAGGTACCAAATTAGTCAACAAGTATTGATAAAAACTAAAGTTTCCCTATGATCAAAAATCAGAAAAAAATGACTTGAAATAATAATTTTAGTCACCAATCATATAAAAATTCTATTGAAAAGACCCTTAAATTCTTTGAGAAATCTATGTTATCTAGCATACTTACGCGTCTTCAAATCCCCAACAGTCTTCTGGGTCCACTCCTAGTTTAAATGCCGCAGTCAGAAATGCATCAGGGGAGGGCTTGGGGTTGGTATAGTCCTCATTACCAACAACAACATCAAATAGATGACGAACACCAGCTGCTGCAAGGGCTGTTTTAGAAAAAAAACTCTCTTTAGGGTTGGGCTTCCTGTGTTTCAGTTGAGGGTGGGAGCCCAAAAAAGTTCACTAGTAAGCCAGAATTTTAAAAGCACGCGCATCGTCCTTTCTTGTTTACAAAACGTAAAATAAAATTTCTGTTTTTATTAGTACAGTCTTTATAAATTTGATTGAGTATCTAATCTTGCTTTTTTGATTTACATTGTTTTTTCTTCCGACTCCGATCTGGCACGTTCAACACGGCACGTAACTACGTGTCAACATAACCCAACCTCCAGCGAGGTTAATGGCTTATAACGGGTTTATAAAGAAAGTTTTTAAGCTTACATTCAAGTAAGTTTTTTAGAATATCAAAACAGAACGACAAACAATTTCTCAAAAAAATTTAACTAACCTTTTTCGACTTGTGCCCGAGAGCTACCTGACGCAACAGCGACTGGTATTCCTTTCTTCTTGGCTTCATAAACAAAGCGTAAAACGCAAGGTATAGATTCAACAGTAGACAGTCCTTTCAGAAATACAGTTCTTTTTCTTTGGTAAACCTCCAAGGGATCTAGTATGATCGATTGTTTGATCGCTAAGTCTCGAATAATGTATTTACCGGGCACTCCAGCGAGTCGAAGAAAATCTTTCTTGGCAAAATTTAACCCCGTCTCCTTGCAGATCTCACACCAGGCTTTCCAGTGTAGAGGCATAGTGTCCAAAACCGTTCCATCACAATCGAATATTAAAGCTTTGACATCTTTTGGTATCACATTCTTGGTTTCAACGAGGGCTGGCATTTTGAATAGAAGTTTCGCAAGGCCAAGCAACGGATTATTTATACGACTACAAATTCTACAGTCGTAGTAACATGGAGCCGCCGAGAGCGTTGAGAGTGAACCTCAAAACCTTTCGTATCTGTCCTCAGACAATCCTTGAAATAATTGAATGCGTTTGTACGTGTAGGAAGACATTACCGTAAACAAGCGAAAGTAGTGACTCCAAGCATGAAAATTCTTACTGAAAGSCCAAGGAAAAACCACATTTACGTCACAACCGATTACTCACCCCATATGGCAGTCCATATAAGGAGTTTTCGGAGGTGTGCTTGGCATGTTATTGTCCTCGGATAAAATATGTAAATAGATCTGACAAACAGACAATATTAGGTATTTGATTAAGCAAAATATTTTGGATGCTACGGAAAAGTGAAAGGTTTTGGGAAATGAATCTTGGTAACTATCTTAGGGGTAGTTAAGAGATAATGATTTTTTTCCTTGAAACAAGAGAAAACAAACACATAAAATCAAACTACACAAAATACTTCTTCCTCTTAAATTTATTYAACAAAACTTTCCATTTGTGACATCCAACATTAAATGCCCTTTGCTCCCATTTTTCGTTCCATTTCCCTTCCCATATTTTCAAAATGAAGCCCAACTCTTAGGATGTATTTTTTAAAAGAAAATGATAATACTACATCAATCTTACTGTTTGTGCGGAATAGCAATAGCAATAGCAATATCTTGGTATGCTTAAATATATATTATATCCGAGACTCGATGTACGATGAATAGCTCTAGAAAGCTTGTCTTCAATAACAAATACACCTACAAATATATGTTACATTACTCGTAGTAATACAAAATTCCTTTCCTAACTAATGAATCTATTCTAATATAGACCAAGTACATAACCTATTTTCCAAAGTGTGTCTGACTTATCTGGAAATACCTTAAATACTATGAACCTCAATTTCTATAATATATTTGTTGAAAATATAATTATTCTGGCTTACTAGAATTATTATTGTGCCTTGTACATAGCATTTATTATTCCTACATTGTTCAGTAAATTTTGTAATGCTGTTTTTGAAATATTTTCGATGTGATTTCATGCTGTTTCCCATTTTGTTTWAAAAAAAATCATATGTGATTGTTTAAATGATTTATCTGTAAATAAGCTAAATATATCAATATATAAAATCAAATGTTATAACACATTCTTTTCAACTAGAAGCTGAGAATACACAGATAAGTTAAAAACGTAGAATACAATATCCTGCATGCATTAAAATTGTCATTATATTTAGCTCTGGAAAAAGCTTACGATTATATAAATCCTGAGGTTAAAAAAAGAACGGGTAAATTAAGACCAATATATTGCTATTACTATCCAACTGTTAGTGCACGTCTGAGTCTTCGACTTGAAGGGGCTGTGGAATCATTATTTAATGTGGGTCGCTTCTCAGGGTATTCTGGTAGTAATCTTACGTCAATAGCTTTTGCGTATCCAGCTCTTTCGATGGATTCTAACCCAATGTCTCTATGATAAAAAATATTTAAAAATATTACTTCACCACAAAAAAATGGCATATTTTTCAATAARCAATAGAAAATAACAAAGTTTGTTTTGGGAAAATAAAATATAATTTTTCTTACGTGTCTTCAAATCCCCAACACTGTGATGGTTCTAATCCAAGTTGTTCTGCTGCTTTCAGATAAACTTCAGGGTTAGGTTTGTGATGAGCATAGTCTTCATTCCCAAGTACAAAGTCAAAGAAATCTCGTATACGAGCATTGGTCAGAGCTGAAARATTATAAATTGAATATATTAACGATTTGTTTACAATATTTCGAAAAATACACAAATATTTCTTTCAAAATTAGAATTTCAGAAGATTAAGTCCTATCATCGAGTTTTATAAGAGGGAAGAAATATGCTGTATTGACAAGAAAAGCGACAATAATGATCTCATGTAACTTTATCAAAAATAATATATATAAAAACCCACTCTTAAGTATAAGAATCACAGTATTTTGTCTTTTAAAAAATATTTCGTATAATTTTTACTTGGTATAGAGTTTCTACCATTGTTTAAAGGAATATTATAAGTTTTATTAATAGTGCGAATCGAATATGTCTATAATTAATTCTGGAAGAAAAATCATCAATCTTAAGAATATTTTCCCCCTTTTTCTCAGCTGAAATTCTAAATTTAAATAGGTATTAGTCTTAMAGTTGAGTAGGAATAAGGAATTGTGTATTTATCCAATATTTTTATTAATTATTTTGGTACGTGATGTTCAAAACAAGCCTCCGTCAACGCCCCCCAAACTCCCACGTCACAAATTATAAATAACAATCCATTTCAAACACGCAACTTATCATTTCTTGTTTGTTTCGCTTTAAATAGAACGATTTTAACTATTATACCCATATAAAAGGCTTTTACAACAGTATACCGCGATTTTCTGGTAGTTTAATCCCAAAATAATAGAGATTTTAAGCCAAGAAGGTATAATTATTCACGGCTGAAAGATGTCTATTGTTCAGAAATGGACTTTGAACACCAAACGAATGATATGKAGAATGATGAAAGTGGACTTTGAACATGGTTTAGAACTTCATTACTGCGGGATTTATGAATGAAAACGATAACGTTTAGTAGTATGGGGCACATGGAGTAAGCGAATAAAGAGAAAAACCTCTCCACTCGCCATGTTCCTTGTCAAAAATACAACATGAATAAATGCATGCTAAAAATATAACTAAGACCAGTAAACTAAAAGAAAATTTGTTTCACAATTTAATAAAATCAGAATTAACATCCATTCGTATATGATTTAGTAGTAAATGAAYTGATGATTTTCGATCCTATGTTTTAAAAAGCGTAATAAATCCGGAATATAAACCATTTCGYATATAAAATATTTCGTACCTTGTTCAACCTGCTTCTTGGAACTACCCGAYGCCACGGCTACAGGGATTCCGCGTTGGTTGGCTTCGTAAACATACTTCAAAACACATGCAATGGGACCAACAGAAGACAATTCTGATAAGAAATAGTTCTTCTTCTTTTCGTAGACTTCTTGAGCGTCTAGAATTTTTCCCTGTTGTAAAGCGAGAACGCTGATAATCTTCTTGCCGGGAACGCCAGCAAGGACATAGAAATCTTCTTTGGTGAAATTCAATCCCGTGTCTTTGCAAACACTACACCAAGCTCTCCAGTGTAAAGGCATAGTATCGAGTAAAGTGCCATCGCAATCGAAGACAAGGCCTCTTACATCGTCTGCGATCAAATGGTTAGAACGTGGAACCATTTTGGTGAAGGTATATATAAAGAAACGAAGAATGAATGAGCCCTGAAGCGCGCTCAAAGTCKACCAAAGATGGTCGAGAATCAAAAGGTAAACAAGAACAAGTGTATTCGAGGCTTCATACTGAAGGATTTCTTTCTTTGAAAAAGAAAGCAAAAAAAGAAGAAAGTTCAGACGGWGTAGCTAATCGAAAAGCTACAGCCACAATAACAACTCGTTGGCGTGCAACGCTGTTTACCCTTTCCTGACCTGCGTGACTCAAATCACGCATTCCACAAACATTTCCCGTAGCCAATCACAACTAAACGCAGATGTGATTCAATATTGACGTTTATGCATGAAAAGAAATGTGCTTGAACAAGAGATCACGGTCTCTTAGGCTGAAAATCCAAAATTATCAAAAATTACTCAAAAATTTATTTACGGTAAACTGTACACAAGAAAATTTTCCCTGTTTCGTTGCTCTCGCGTCCAAAAAAGTGGTCGACTTGTCGCAAGGCTTCTAGATTGACCTCTTTCCTATTAAACCAGCTCTAAAATTTCGGAAAATGCCCCGCACACGAAGACTGGAGACGGTAACCTTGATAATGGCTTATTATTTGGAAAAAAAGATTAAAACAAAAATTGAATCAATTACGTTTTATTTCAATATCTATTTTTTGTTTTCTCTGCATGACCATTTCAGATTCGAGTCTCATAACGTCATAACATTAGTATACTTAAAAAAACATCCCGCAAAAAATATACAAGAATTGACRAATAATCTAAAGAATAATTTAAAACAAAATGCCAAGAAAAATTAAGCTGTTTTGCTWGTGATTTTTTGTTCTTTATTGATTTATACCCCGTTACAAACTTCCAGAGTAACGTAACTACGTGATGTGAATTATTTTAGTGAAAGAAGATTACATCGATGATTATGATCTTGGAGGAAATCTCCTGATACGAGTGTCTTTTGTGTTTACAAAATTTCTTTATGATTTATATTATGACACTTTTAGAGATAAATAAACTATAGATTGCCGTGAAGGGGAGAGAAGGGAAGGTTGGGAGAAGCATATTTTAAATATGTTCT